ATTTGCTGATAAAGAGCCACAGCTTGTAGAGCGCGGCATTGGTATTCTTCTTCTTCTCCAGGACCGCTTCCGGGGCAGGCTGGTTGAAGGCATCCTCCGGCTCAGGGCTGTGATGTCGAACTTTCATCCGAGAGCCGGACGCGAGGTCATGTTCCTGGTTAGAGACCATGCGCTCAGCGCGGAGAAGCTCCAGGTCATCAGTCAGGCGATTTGCCTCGGCACGCTGGCTTATCGGGGATACAATATCTGCCTCATCTTGGATAGGCGCCAGTGTGTTTGATGTGTTGAAGGTGTCAAGGGTGGGCGCTTCGAATCTTTCGGATTTTTCGTCGTACTGCTCGTCCTCATTTGTCTCGCCCTCCTGTTCGTCAATCCGGTTCATCTCCGACGAGGTTCGATGTGGATGAGTATTGGGAGGCATGGCGGGAAAAGGCTCTCCAGCCATTGCTATAGTATTATCGCGGCACAGCTAAAGCACGGTCGGCTTAAGCGCAGCGGCTGTGGAGAAGAAACTGGGGAAAAAGAAGCTGTTGGCCGCGATTTATAAGATCTGTGAAAAAGCAGAGAAGCACCGCTTATGCTAATAAGAATGACATCCAGATAACGGAACTGGCGGGAGGCTCTCCGCAGCCAAGGCTCGGGTCCAGCACGACGCAGGTCAATGGCAGAATCGCAGGGTTCAAAGGATCGGCGTGGTGTTTTGTTGGCGGTCGTGGTGGAGCGAGTGACGAAATGATGCCGTTGCTACAAGAGGGAATGAGCAGCCATGGCCGGGGTTGTTCTTTTGTATGTGCTGCAACCGTGGGAATGGGAATCCACCCGTCGAAAAATTCAAACAGGAATTAAAAGAGGAGCCGCCTCACTGAGTCAAATTTTCTCTACTGATAGCTACATGCTGGCGAAAATTGACCGTTGAATGTGGCTAAAAAAAAGTCTGCATCGAGCATCTTTCGGGAATATATGGCCCAGTTTGGTGTCGCTATCATGCCCGTTTTGTCCTCGACTAGTCCCCTGTGGCGCCTAGCGTGATGATTTCTGGCGGCTGAACAGCGCCTTCAGGGCAGCGGTGCAGCCACCATTTGGCTGCTCCCCCATCTCTCCAAACAAATCTCTGCCCTGGCGCGCTATTTGTCTGCGGGAGCGCAGAGGCAAATACAGGGCAGTAGTGCACCTGCTAGCGCTCATCGCTAAGAGGCGCCACGGAACAAGGCGCCTCCGGAGTGCTTGTTGCGGCCTAGCGCGCTTCTGCCACATGTCAGAGAAGACTCTCGAACCTGCTTTTCGGTTTCTCCTTGACAATGTCATGTCTTTTGTCCCTGAATGTCGATAAAATCCGAGAAGCAGGAAAACAGCATCACGGAGAATCCCCAGAACCGCCGAGTCCTACGTGGCCCTTCTGGGGCCCACCAGCTTGCTCGATGATTTCCCTGATTTCCCCTCTCAAGCTTTGTTTTTTAGTTTGAAGCTTGACAGGGTGCTTGACAAGGTCGCTGACGATCGCGGTGGAGCTGCCGAGTTGCTACCGGTGCTGGAGACGAGCTGGCAGGGGAAACGCATCGCGGAGAATCGCAATGACCGATTAACAGAGAGATTTGCTCTCTTGGCTGACTCGATCTACTCGCCTTTAGGGAATAGATGCGAGAGCCCTGGTTGAATAGCGGGCGTGTCAGGACATGCAGGTGTCCTTCTCGCAGCAAACAATTGGCTAGACGGCGACGATGGCTTCAAACACACCGACCCTAACCCCCCTCAGCAAAGTGATCGACATCGTGCATCGTGCATACCATCCAGCCATCTACTGAACACCGCAGTGATATACATTCCCGAGAGGCTCGACTGCGCAAGTTACCCGCCGCTTCCGCCGCTTCAGCGCAGTGCTACGGCTCCGTATGGCACCTCAGACAGCGCTGCGTGCTGTGCGTGCGTCAATATCCAAACCCCGGCTCAAGCCCCTCCGCGGAACTTCAGCTCGGCCTGCTCACCGTCCGAGCCACCGCCGTTTTCTCACTGTGTTGCCGGCCCCGCGTGTCCCGCCGCTACCCAGTCCCGCCCCGGACCCGCAAACTGTGGGAGAGACACGTACGCACGCTTCGAGCCCAGCCATCGGCGATTCCCATGTGCCGTCTGTTACATGTGAATTGCTCTTTGGGGAGCATGATGACGGTCCGAATAAAGATAAGCTAGCAAGCTAGCAAATAGCCAACGTCCCCGTGGCGCTCCGGCACGCAATATCTGACAGGCAAATCAGAGGCGATCCGCTTATCATTTCACTTAGGAGTCTTTGATCTTTCTTTTTTTTCCAAAATCGCAAAAGCCAACTCGTATCTTTGAGGTTATCCACCGAATTGTCTTTACAGTATGACATACTTGTAGCCCATCAGCTCCACCGCCAGACTTCCCTGTCAATACGAGGTGGCAAAGGCAGGCTTCTTCATTTGTTAATGGCCTGTCCAGGTTCCGCTGTGAATCGAGATTGTACATCATCACGCACATATGAGCATCCAATCGTGCGGCCACGCTTGGCACGCTTGGCACCACTGAACAGAAGATCAGAATAAGCATAATTCGATTTGTTTCCACAATTAGCCTAAGCGCTTGCAGGTGCACATACGTAGAGCTCGGGGCACCATGAAGCTTTTCCGCGATGCCGTTTCAGGGCTTCCACTAAAACGAAATACCCTATTGCCGTATATGGGTCGGTATGGACAAAGCACGACCCTGATAATATAATCAGTGTTCAACGTCTATCTTTGAAATGAACTACTCTTTTCAATTGTGTCCAGGATTGAGTCAAAGTTGGCATCGCCAATTTTTGTACATTAAATTATCAAAGAGGTACGTCGGGAGTGCACGTCCTCAACAAACCAGCAAGTCCTTGTCATGAAAACTGGGCCCACGTGTACATACGCAATCGCCCAGAGATTAGCTCATACCTGAAGTATCCTTGTGGTTTGTTTCTATATAAAGTAACGGTCGGATGGCATGGAACTTGAAGACTAAAGTGCTTCGATAAATTTTCTGTTCCTGCCGACCCGGGAGCGATGGCTGATCCTCAAGCCTCCATTACGCTGTGGCGCATACTAAATAAGGGAATCCGCTTGAACAGCATTGAGGTCCTATGTTAATGTGCGGCTGTCTAAAAAAAATGCTGTGAAATGTCGCCTCTGGCTTTTCTCACGATACTATTAGGTACCTACCTAGGCAACACAAGCCGAGATGTATTGTGGCCTGAGGGATGTTAAAATTGCTGTGAAGAGACAGCGTTGGGGCCCCACAGGCTGATAAACTACTTGAGCAAATCACAAGCCTGGTACCAAAGCCTTCGAGACAGTTGAAAATGCTGTGAAAGCGCCAAGTTATCCCTTGCAGTACCGACTAACCAATAGCATTGAAAAGGTCATAGATGTCTTTATGTAGACACCAATGGGGCCGAGATTAAGAAGCAGACATATCGCTCATTGATTGTGGGGGAGCCGAGCAGAAACGAACCAAGAAGGCTACATATGTATGGTAGGACAGCTCTAGAAATTAAGCTTCGAGGTAATGGCAAAAAAAAAGAAAAAAAACCAAGGTCTTATAACACATAAACAGTACGAGACTGAGGGACGAGAATGTTGTGTGTCAAAAAAAAAAAAATTATCCTGTTCAACATGTGACATCTGAAACCAACAGTAGCTGGTTCAACACAAAAAGCGACTTAACCCTACCTTTATCGTAGCGTGCAAAATTGCTTGGTGGCCGATTAGATAGACTGTGAGAGCTAAAACATGCTTTACTTGTTGTCTCAAAGCTAAATGTGTTGCGGTCAATGAGTGCTTTATGCGAGTTGCCGCTGCAGGGGATGGTTGCATCAAGCCAAGTTATTAGTCTCCTTTGGAGATTTTTGTTTTTACCACACTTGGCAATTGGTAAAAAAAAAAAAACATGTGTTAATGTTTGAGTATATTATCTGAAACGGTCAACATGGTTGCTATCATCATATCGGTATCAATTGGTCACCATGAAAAGTTCAGAGGTCGTTGGGCGTTAGGGTTGTCTAACCTGGCACTTGAGACTCATTTGCAACAGCGTCTCCCATTGGTCGTACAATCCAAACGCATCGACCTCCCAAACGCAGATCTCCGATGTGTGTTTTCTCAAGGCCGTTTTGTGTGAATGCGTGCATCCGTTGCGCATCTCCCTCATGACCCCTCATGACCCCCATCTTCGACAAGTCATGGCTCCTTGTCACACTGCTTTGCGATTGGCCGCGGTTCTAACAAGGGCTGTACGTCACCAGCGATGCACGCAGGAGTTACTTTATTCGTCCAAGGCAGTTCATCAGCTGTCTTTTGGCTAAATCGAATGTCTCGGCGGTCGGGGTAGCTACATGTGCTGCTAGTCACACTCCAATAACTACCTTATCTCTGCATGTACATAGAGAATAGACTTTGCGAACATTAACGCAACGTACCTGACCGTTTACACGGGAAGATTCTATATATAAGCCAAAAATTGGCAAATTGATGATTGTTTATATGTTTCAAGATGCTCACTGCGCTCACTAACGTGGTTCTTTTACGAGGTCCGGTAGCAAGGCCTCTCTCGTTAAGATAAAGCTCGCTTTTAGCGGCGGCCCCCATCTTTGTTAGAACGCGGGGTGCAGCAGAAATGCCCCAGAGTTGGATGTTTTCGGCAGTCTTTAGTGGATAGTCTGCCGTTGCAGGGCAATCAGTGCCGATGGCCAAGCTCAATGCCCGGCTATTTTCCATGTAGGGAGAAAGCAGGCTTCCATTGATTTGTAGGTAGTAATAAGAAGGTTCAACTCCTCAACGCTGGTTGCGCAGGATCGTCGCTTGGCTTTGACTTTCTATCATCGCCCGTCTTTTGGCCATCTCTAATGTGTCGTTCATGGTTCCGTGTCCCTCTCATCTGACTCTCGTTTTGGCGTCTTCAAAGCAGTGGTTATCGAGTATAGTATTGACATCGTTTACCAATCATCGTTATCATCTCAGGGGAGCATGGATCCTAAACAGCCAGAGGAGGTGCAGCACTCCGAACATCGTGAGCTCCCGACCTCTTCTCGCCTCGGCCAGTCTGGCAGCAAAGGAGCGGATCGAGCGCTGGCCATCATTGGCGACCAGAAAGTTGAAGTTACCGAAGAGGAAAATCGCCGTATACTTCGAAAAACCGACAGAACCATCTTGGTCATCCTCGTATGGGTTTATTTCCTCCAGATCCTCGACAAGTCCGTGCTGGGATACGGCGCGACATACGGCCTCAAGGAAGACACGCACCTCAGCCCGGGCCAGTATTCTCTTTTAAGCTCCATTGCCCCCATTGCCCAGCTGATATGGCAGCCTTTCTCGTGGGTTCTCATCGTCAAGGTGCCTCATCGCATCTTGATGCCCGCGCTCTGTCTGGGATGGGGCATTGCGCAAACTGCCATGGCGGCATGTCATGATTTCTCGAGCCTTATGGCTACACGATTCTTCCTTGGCTTGTTCGAGGCCGGCTGCTTGCCTCTGTTCAGCGTCATCACCAGTCAGTGGTATCGACGAGCTGAGCAGCCCATTCGTGTCGCAGCGTGGTACGGGACCAATGGACTGGCGACCATCTTCGCTGCCGCTGTTTCATATGGGCTGGGGCAGATCAACTCACCACTATTGAGAGAATGGCAGATGTAGGCACAAGCACCCAACACCACTCCAAATATCAATCATGGCTAATACAAACATACATCTAGCATCTTCCTCTTCGTCGGGCTCTTGACCATCGTCTCTGTTCCATTTGCATATTGGAAATTGGACAACGACATTCCCTCCGCACGATTCCTGACTGAAGAGGAGAAGCCAAAAGCGTTGGAGCGTCTTCGCGCCAACCAAACAGGCACTGGCACCCGCGATTTCAAATGGAACCACGTCATTGAGGCGGCTCTAGAGCCTAAAACCTATCTCTGGTTTGGAATGTCGCTGCTGCTCAACGTGGGAGCAATCGTTACCGTTACGTTTGGCCCTCTTATCATCAACGGTCTCGGCTTCGACAAGTACACAAGCAGTTTACTCAATATGCCGTTTGGGGCCCTCCAAGTCATTGTAGTTCTCATTTCCAGCCTCTTGGCCAGGAGGGCGAAGTTAAAGGGAGCTGTACTGGCCGTCTTCGTGTTGCCGGTTCTCGCTGGATTAATCATGCTATACTGCCTTCCCCGAGACAAATCAAATCAAGGAGCTTTACTTGCTGGATACTATCTCCTGGCGTTCCTCTTTGCCGGCAACCCTCTTATTGTCTCTTGGATCGTCGGCAACACTGCTGGAACAACTAAAAAGTCAATGATCATGAGCGTGTACAACGCCGCCAGCTCCGTGGGCAATATCATCGGCCCCATCCTGTTTAATGACCGGGATGCACCTGCCTATAAACCTGGTTTACGGGCCTGCCTGGGCGTTTTCTCAGCATTAGTTGGAGTGATTGTACTGCAGTGGGCCAATCTAATTGTTCTCAATAAGATGCAGGCCAAGACTCGAGTACGCAACGGAAAGGAAGCAAAAGTTATTGACCGCTCTATGCAAAACCATTATCGCACAGCCACGCACCGCGAAGATGGAGTACTTCAGGACGCTGAGGGAGTCAACGATGAGGATGATGCTCTTGGTCGAAACGCTTTCTTGGATCTCACAGACCGTGAGAATGATGAGTTTGTATATATTTACTAAATCAAAGCTAAAGACTAATTGCCTAGGATATGGAGACAGTCTCTCTTCCTAATAAACGCCGTGCCGCTGTCAATATGTGCTATATTCCCTTTCCAAAATGAGTGAGCTGAGAGATGTGTCTATCTTTCTTCGTTTTGCGTTGTAATGTGTTTTCAAGACTTGTTGCATATTTGGGACATTGTGTAAGCCGCTCATGATTTGCCGAAAATTCCTTGAGGAGTTGCAGCTTTGGCCAAAAGTACGAGAATGCCGCCAACAAGGCACATGGCACCGCTAAACATGGTGACCTGCTCGAAGCTCTTATAATGGGCCACAAAGGCGCCGTCAATAGGAGGTCCTATCAAGACTCCAACAGCTCCCAAGGCCAATCCCATGCCCGTATAAGTGCCGATATTGCGCGGGTCATCGGCACAGCTCGTGATGGTGACTGTTGCTCCCGAGATGATTGTGCCAGAGGTAAACCCGAAAATGGCTGCATAAGCGATGATGCCCGCATTGTTGTGCGTCGAGTTCATACAAAAGGCAACGACGGCGGTGACGATGGTTCCCCCGGCATACATGTTCATCTTTCCGTACTTGTCAGCCAGAATGCCCGGGATGACACGGCCAAAGGTCGAAGCCGCATTGAGAATGGCGGGCAAGTAGCCAGCCAGCGTTGCGCCCATTCCTCGAGCTTCCACGGCATACGTCGGGAGGAAGATGATGGGCATGAACATTCCGATGAAGGCGAAGAAGGTGGACGTGATGAGCAGCATAAACTTTGCGTCTCGGAACACGCCAGTGATGAAGAAGGCGGTTGGGCGCGGCGGCAGGCGGGCCTTGATGACGATGATGGAAAAGGCCATGAAGGGCACCATGAGGAAGCCAATGATTCGGACAGTCCAGCCAAACCCGATGGACGTGGCGTTGAGCATCCGGGACACGGCGATGGGCATGATGATGCCGCCGATGGAGGAGCCGGAGATTGCGACTCCAAAGGCGGCGGCTCGCTTCTTGTCAAAGTAGTGGGCGAGCGCGCCCATGGCTGGGAATTGGAGGAAGCCCATGGTGCTGCCCATGAGGACGCCCTGGACGAGGATGATTTGCCAGTATGTTTTGCAGAGACTGAGCATCATGACTGCGAAGATGTAGATGACGGCCGCGGGTTGCATAATCTATAACAGGTGTTAGTTCCTAAATTGATAGATACGGTTTGCTGAGTTTAACATGTAAAGGGGCAGAGACAACGTCAACAAATCCACACCTTTACTCCATAGCGGTCAAACATGGGCCCTCCAATCATGCCCGTAAAGAACTGCAAAAACGCAGAAAGAGAACCAATCCAGGCCACATCGTCGGGAGTATGGTCGCGAAGCTGGTGAGTCAGGTAGTACTCGGTGAACGTGCCAAACGAGTTGGAAAATCCCAGACAGCAGAAGAACACGGACGCCGCTCCGCAAGCGACGAGCCATGCTCTCAGACCGCCTTCGGGGGCAGGTTCTATCTCGTCTTCTGAAATCGATTGTTGTCTCTCTTGGTCGTCGGGAACGAGTTGTTCGAGGGCAATCTTCTCCTCGCCGGGGAGGGGAGTGCCTTTTTCTTCGACCGAGGTTGTCGACATGGCTGGGATGATAAAGCGTCCTTTTATTTTTTTTCTAGGTCCGAACAGTCTCAACTGTGTTTTTGTACTGTTTCGAAGAGTTAAAACTAGAAAAGGAGCCTCTGCCCTATTATCTAGATCCGATAATAAGGTTGAATAAAAGGTTGATGAACAGGGGGCACGGGAGCGTCCATCTCTTATATACCAACGCGATTCTATTCTATCTAAGCCCGAAAAGAAATATCTACATGTACCTTCTATCTCAGGCAAACATCTCCAGCATAGGACGATTCCTTCAGGAAAAAAGTCCCATTCTCGGAGATGATAATAGGCTGGCCATTGACACTCGGAGGGTTTTTCTCGTTGGACCTTGCATCCCAGCTGCAAACCAACGTGCGTATAAGCCGGGGTTTCGCCCAAAGAGGAAATAGCCAGGGTGGTGAAAAAGCGAATAGGCCTAGTGGTGTGCGAAACTCCCTTTGTTGGCCGGCAAGGTCCGGGTCCGCAAAAGCCCATAGTCCGAGTCCGAATTCGGTCGTGATGCCTGTTTGGGGGATTTGCCGACTTTCTATGTCCGAAAGGAAGCGTCATCACATGCAGTCTTTCGTTTTCGTTTACCTTATTCCGACTCGCGACTTTTTCGTTTCTTTATTTTTTTTTTATCTTATCAATCTATTATACATTCATCTGCCAAGAAATCTTTCGATGGAACATACTCCCAAAACGGTGGTTGTGGAGGGAGAGCGACGCCGGCGGAGACCTGCAATGTAAGCCCGCATCTCAGCTTCTTCTATACCTACCTACACAGTTTGAGTTCTCAGCAGATAATTAATGAAGAAATAAAAAAAAATAGATCATGCGCGTTGTGTAGGAAACGCAAACTTCGCTGTAATCGCCAGCGGCCTTGCAGCAACTGTATCCGGGCCAAGGCCGAGACATGCGTCTACGAGAGCCACAGCCCGGGACCTCTCGCGTCTGTGCAGAACCCAGTTGGCGTCTTCTTTCTCGATGCTGAGGCTCCAAGATCAGCTCCGGCTCCGGCTACATCTCAATCTGTCTCCAATTCCAGTCCTAACGAATCATCGCTGAGCGCAAGAAATCACACGTCTAATTTAGCAGCTAAGAATCTAACAAGTCCCTTGACACCGCGAAGTCAGGATGAATCAATCACCAACCGAAGCGTCCTCGAAGCTGGCAAAGTCTGGTCTTCCATTCACAATTACTGTTCAACTGAGCCAAGGTCTCTACCACAGCAGCAACAGCCACCGGCGCAGCGAACGCAGTCTCCTTATGCCTCCCCTGAAACCGATTTCCTCAATCAAGCGCGCCACATCACTGGAGGTGCTATCCACTTCCATCGCGACCATCACTTGCCAAATTCAACTGAGCCAGCTCTAATACGAAGCGTTACACACAAGACGCGGTTCTTTGGCCAAAGCCATTGGATCAATGTCTTTCAAGTAGTAAGCAGATATTTCTCTTTCTAACTAGCCAAAGCACATTGCTCACTGGTATGTGTTCTTATTACCTAGTTCAAAAACATGTTTGTCCTCAACGACGTACATCTTCTGGAAGAAAAATCCAACACCTATCCACTCCTTCTCAAATGCAAATCTCTGGCAAAAGTCATCAAAGCCAAAAGGAACCCTTCTTGGCCGACAATTCCGACAAGAGAGCTGCCGGAAAGACAGATTTGCGACAAGCTCATAGACTGCTACTTGAAGACATCGGAGAACATTCACAGGATTCTACACTTACCGTCCTTCAAGAACGACTACGAAGAACTATGGGAGCCCGGTGCATTTCCTGATATAGCCTTTGTCGTCCATCTCAAGCTGGTACTGGCTCTTGGTTCAGTCTGCTACGATGAAGAATTCTCCTTACGAGCTTCAGCCATACGCTGGGTATACGAGGCGCAAACGTGGATATCAGAGCCCGAATTCAAGGCGCGATTAGGCATTCAGTTCATACAGACTCACATACTGCTTCTCCTAGCTCGAGAAGCCGTCGGCGTCGCTGGCGATTCAGTCTGGGTGTCTGCGGGCGATTTGGTGCGGAGAGCCATGCACATGGGCCTCCATCGAGATCCGCACCACCTGCCAAAGCGATCTCTCTATGCAACCCAGATGCACAGGCGATTGTGGAATACAATTCTGGAGATTCTTTTGAAAATGAGTCTGTCGTCGGGCGGCCCGCCGCTCATCTCGCCCGACGACTTTGACACGGAGCCCCCCGGCAACTTTGACGATGACCAGCTCATGACGGAGAGCTCAGTCGAGAAACCCGAGGCCGAGTACACCAGCATGTCAATCGCGCTGGCGCTTCGGAAGACGCTGCTCGCTCGTCTTGCGGTGACGAGCTTCTTGAACGACCTCACTTCGTGCGGGACGTTTGAGAGGACCATGGAACTCGACGCCGAATTACGATCGGCTTATAAGATTCTGGTCCACACTCTCCGTGGATTCAAATCCAGACAATCAACGGGCGAGGCATCGTTTGGCCCTTCAGATCTGGACTTGAGATTCGTCGACTTCCTCATGCAACGACACATATCCGCCCTCCACACGCCATACTTCATCCCGGCCCTCCGGCAGACGAAATACGCCCTATCGCGCAAGCTCGCCATCGAAGCCACCCTCAAGATCTGGGCCGCAGCCTTTCCTTCCTCAGCCATTATGTCCCATCGCCACAGTCAGGGCTCCTCTCCTTCATCCCCTCTTTCTTCCGGCCTTGGCAATGAAGACCTCCTCACGCGCCTCTCCTACAGCGCTCCAGGCTTCTACAGAATCGCCTCCATGCAAGCCAGCCTACTCATCACCGCCGAGCTCGACACCCAGCTCCGCGAAGAGCAAGGGCTCGTGCCAGGACCTCTTCGGTCGGACTTCTTCTCCGTTATCCGGGAGTCCCAGGACTGCAGCCTGCGCTGCATTAAGAGCGGCGAGACCAACGTCAAGGGCTACCTGGTCTCCTGCGTCATTACCTCTCACATGGAAGCCCTCATGCGCGGCGTCGATCCATCTGATATTCCGCCCTTGTTTCGAAAAGCTTCTGAAGAGGGAATGGAGCTTTGCGTGCGGATTTTGGAGGAGCGAGCTGGGCAGAGTCAGGATGTGGGAGCTGTGGATGTCGACGAGGACATGGGTATAGGGATGCGGCAGCAGAGCCCAGACTGGGATTTTTTGGTGAGTCGAGTATTGTTTGTTGCTACTTCTTTATTTCGTGATGACTTTGCTAATCTTTTTATGACTGCAGATTTCAGACGCCATGTTTGCATACAACACCGGGTTGAATGAGCCCATGAATTGGTTCCTGAGCGAGGGCACTCGCTGAAGCTGTTTTAAGATGTAATAATGGGATGGAGACCCAGTGACGATAATACTGTAAAACACTTGTAATCATAATGTACAATAGTTAGAAGAAACTCTTATACAAATCTCAAGCAGTCATCAACTCTGGATTGTCTGTGTGCAAATCGTGTATAGGCCATCTTACGACAAAAAACATCAACAACGCAAATGGGCGGATGGTTTAGTGGTATAATTTTCCCTTAGCATCAAGCAACCTTCGAGCTGCTTAACCGCATGGGAAAGGTCCGGGGTTCGATTCCCCGTTCGTCCAGATGTTATTTCTTTTTGCACTTTTTCTACCCTCTCCTTTTTCTGCGGATTCGTCCAATTTTTTCTTTGGCGCGGATGTGGCTGTCGGTGGGACCCCGGCTCGGTCTTTAGTCGGGCCCGGGATTCGTCGGAGGTACGTACCGTTTTGTTGTTGCAGAGATCAAGACTCTCTCGTCCATACTTGGTTTACGAGACCAGCACGAAAGAGAAGATGGATGCAACCCTTTGATACGCCCTTGTCTCGGGCAGCTCACGCAGCGAGTTAATTAATTGCATCGTCCTCTTTCCCTAAAAGGAGCGGCGAGCAATGCTTCACCGCCTCGTGTCTGCTAGTGGTCGTGGTATTGGTTGGTAGCTCCTGAGAGAGATCTCTCGCGCACTTGTAATATCGCTACTGTTTCGAGGTAGACTGAGAAGGACACGGTTCCAACAGAAGGCTTCTCCTATTGATAGTAGTACTAACCTGTCAGGAGCGTCATCTTAGCGCCTAAGCTTGTCTCGATCCAGACCCATACACAGACTTCACATGCGCGGAACGCAATAGTGGTCTAAATTAACGAATTGGTTTAACCATAGTACGGGGTGCTATATGTGGGGGTGTTGTTCCGTGCTCTTTGGATGTACAAGCCAATTGCTCTATTCAGTCAGCTTTCTCATGTAAGTCCTAGTAAGGGTGCGATTGCCTGAGAGGATCGTAGTGAAGAGTGGCTCGGTCTAGCAAGATCTAGCCAACGTTGGTGGCTTAAGAGACACCAGAGAGGCAGTGACATCCTAAAACGAGGTTATGTCTCGAGGCTCGGGGCATCGTCATTATGCCGCTTTACATACCTCTTGAGCCAAAACATTGAACAGCATAACGTTCTTTGATCGTATAGGTAATGTTTCTCGAGCTTCAGAGGGGCAATCCTCTCATTGAACAGGCTCCTCTGGACGAAGAGATTGGTGGGGGAGGGAGAAGGAGGGGCAGGTCTTCAGGAAGCTTGAGTAGGCATAGCTCCGACAGCTCAACAAGAAACCATCCTGGCGTCGTCAATGCGAATTATTGCACCGTTGCTCCTCTTTGCGACAAGTCATTCGACTTTTTCAGCTGTCCAGGGATTCCAGTACGCTCCGAGCAAAGGAGGCCATGCCAATAATAGCACCCAGCAGGATGATAGTCTGTCAGAGTAAAGGGTCCTGGCGCCTCTGCCCCTCCATTGCTCCACGTTGGTAGGATATGACGTCCGTAGCTATGAAGTCAGGGAGAGCAAACGGGTGGCCTGTGTACAGTGAAGCGAGCTGAGCCACAAAGGTGCCCAGTTGCTGCTCCCCACGATTCAAGACGCAATTGTCCGCAATGCCTCGCTGTCTGCCAGCTCCTGAGCGTGGAGACTCAAGGGACCCATTTGCCACACTACGTATGTGCTGGGAGCCACCAATCGCGTTATCATAGCTCCTGGAGCTTGCGAGTCCAGATCATCAGATGGGCGGAAGCCGGACGGCGAGCCCACGAATGGAGTCCCCTAGGTCCACACTGCTACGCCATTGAAACTTGCCAAAGTAACAACGCAGTAGCCTCGGGTGCATCGTTGGGTGAATGGCCAAGGGGCAAGGGGTTATCACGTAGATCATTGGATATGCAAAGGGTCGCGAGGTCATTGACCCCTCTTGCACGGTGAGGCAGCTCTAAGCTTATAAATAGCTCTGCCGCTCCCACTTGGAACCTTCTTTGCTTCTTCTTCTTTTCGAACTAAACACTCTTCTTCATAAATACATATACCACAAAACTTCTCTCACATTCACAATGGGTTGGTTCGACGGTATGATCATCTCCAGACCTACCCAGTGTTGTGGATCATGTCATCTAACATGATGTTGCAGATTCAAACAACCAGGCTCAGTACGAGGAGGTCACTCAGCGACCCCACGAAGCCCAGTGGTCTCACGAGCTCATCGGCGGCGCTGCCGCTTACGAGGCCGCCAAGGCCTACGAGGACCACGTTGCTCAGAACGGTGAGAACCGCCCCCTTGCTGGACTCGAATGTCAAAGTTCATCTCTCTAACTCTTCACTGCGCAGGCCACCCTGACGAGCACGCTCAGGCCAAGGAGATCCTCGCCGGTGCCATTGGCTTCTTCGTCGACCGCGAGGTTGAGACCAAGGGCCTCGACTTCATTGACCGCGAGAAGGCCAAGCGCCACGCTCAGCAGCAGGCTGAGCAGGAGCTCAACAACCAGTACGGAAACCAGTGGTAAATACAGTCAGATAGAATAGAAAAAAAACCGACAGTACCATTAAATCCGTCCGCTTTGTTCCAAGACGCGTGTGACGATGCGGGGTCTGTAGGACCCCTCCTTGAGGCCTTCCCAGAAACTGGTGTGGCCGTTGGTTGGATGGGATGCTGGCATCTGCTGCACCTGTCTCGCAACTCGCAGGGTCTGGCTGCTGCCCACCCCAAGCCATCGTAACTCTGGAAGAATGAGGGGGAGGGGGCTTCGTCAGCACGATCCTGTAGTACCTGTGTACCTGTAGTCGCAACACCAGCACAAAGCTGACGCTGTAAATGCGCCCGTAACATGTACAATGCGTGAATTGTGGCCAGGCGTCACTGTAAACCAATCTGAATGCGCCCCTGGACCCGAGTGACGATGGTGGTTGGCTAGCCGGGAAACGATTGCCGATTAGCTCCAGGCCAAGCCGGCTGCTGCAGGTATAGTGGCTGAGAAAGCTTGGCCACTGGAGAAAGCTGGGCCAGGGCCAGCTTGTGGATGAAACGCTCGAGCATTTGCGGTGCAAAAAGGGTCTCTCCATGGATCGCTAAGCGGGGCGCGTCGACCAAGGCCGTAGCTGGTGGATCGAATCAGATGCCAAGGACCTTGCCGCGTTTCCGGGAGGAGCGCCATCGTGAACTCACCGCGTCTTCTCGTTGCCCGTCATGCTGGCAACTGGCCTTTCTAGACCCAAGTTGCGCTCCATCCGCCGTGGCTGGGGCTTGTGCTAAGAATGGCGCCACCCCTCTTTAGCTGAGGCGCTGCCACCGTCGCCGAATCTGAGCTGTGACGCTGTCAAGAGCAAAATGCATACCCGGTAGCATTTCGTGTTTGCGATGAAAAGCCGTCATTGTCGCTCTGCTGGAGTAGTATAGGTATCTGATGCAGGTGTAGATGTTTTGCAGCAGATGATGATCTGGACACGTTTTGTGGAGGAATGTGCGCTCGCGGACTAACGTAATTCCCGAAAGGTGGTCTAAGCGACACAAGATACAGAGTCGAACGCATGATTGAATGCTCATGCAGCTTCTCTCTCCAAATTTGCCAAGAATTTGGAGATGTTAAACCGTAGATTAATTCCCGGCACACACCAGTAATTAAGCTTATCCAGCTGTCTAAAAATTGAAAGTGGTGCTTTTCTGCCGTCATCCAATGGGTGAATGGCAGCAATTCATCATTAGCTCAGCTGAATGAAGTCAGGCCTGCCACTATACTTTGCACATGATGTGCGGTGGTATTATTTTCTCAACTCTTGCTAAGAAACTCATGCCTCATATTCAAACAGTCTGCTCGACAGCGGTCAACGCTCTTTTCCATTTCATCTACGTATATATCCCATTTTACATACAACATGCGATATTTAGCCTGGATGTCTATATATCTTTCGACAAAATAGCACCTTCGTGGTGTTTGCATAAATATGTCCCCCTTCATCAGTCGTATTGTTAAAAGGTCATCATTAGGAGTCACTTAAGCCAACTTAATGCTCCATTCTTCTCCAACACGTGCGTGGATGCCGTTCACAGTGGCAAATGCAGCTCTGCCGTTCTCGGCAGCGTGGTAATCCACGGTGGCAGACCAGGTGCGTCCTTCAGACTCAACTTGAACCTCTTGGCGGTTCCACGAAGCAGGAGCACCGACAACGACAATCTTGCTAATGTGGACATCTCGCATGGCCTTGAGCCATTTGCCGGGCTTGATCTTTCGCGTATCTCGTCCCTCGGGATCGACTGAAGTGAGAACATCACCGTTCAGGCTGAATTTGCGGTAGATGTATTGGCCATCCTCATATTCGTAAGAATCGCCGTCGTCAACGTACAGCTCTCCTTCAGCCTCGCCGTTCTTGGATACGGAGATGACCAATGTGTAGTCATCGAAACGCATGGCGCTGCTCGAACGTCGAGGGATATCACGACGAGTGATTATGTGGCCGCCTCGCATCAGCATTGGTATCCGATCGAGCGGGGCATCATACGTGACATGTTTGCCCTTCTGCGTCTTGGCTACGTTGTACGTAGTGTAGTCGTAGTAGACCTCGTCATCGGGAATCCATATATCGGTCGAGAACTTATCCTTCTCTACAATTGGCTTGACGAGTAAACCAGTAGATCCTACGAAGAATTGGTCATCGATGGTCAGACCGCCCTCCTCAGATGGATGCGTCCAGAACATCGGGCGGAGAATAGGATCGCCATCCCGGTTTGCGTAGAAGAACATAGTGTACCATGAGGGGAGGAGAGAGTATCGCAACCTCAACGCTGCAGTGACAATGGCGGTATATGGCTCACCAAGCAGATACGGCTCGCGGCGACGAGCGTCGATATGAGCATGGCCACGGAAGAAAGGATAGAATGCACCTGCTTGATACCAACGGGCGAGCAAATCTTTCTCGGGATCTCCAAAAAAGCCTGCAACATCAGCTCCGGCAAATGGGAAGCCCGAGACGCCTTGGTTCAGAACCATGGGAATGGAGCCCTGGAGATGGCCCCAGTCTGCTAGGTTGTCGCCCGTCCACATAGCACCAAAACGCTGAGAGCCAGCATAGAAAGATCGAGTCAGTACAAAGGGACGTCGAAGCTCTCCCTTCTTACGACTTTGAAGAGCCTCAAAAGTAGCATGGTGGAAGGTCATGCCGTTCAAGTTGTGGACGTCTCGGTGTTCCCAATTGTCATGATGCAAGTTGTCTCGAGGCATACTGGTCTCGGGTCCGTCAAAGACTGAGGGCTCGTTCATATCGTTCCAAATAAACGTATTCTCCATCGTTCCCTTGAATTTGTCGTATTTGTATAGAGTCTTCCACCACTCACGGGCTTTGGGGTTGAAACAATCGATCCAGTTAGACTGGCCTGGCCAGCAGTGGCCATCATAGATTTTGCCTTCTTTGTCGTGGACTGCAAGATCCTGAGACTGGAGTTGCTCATTGATCGGGTAGCCATCGGTCTTCTTGATGTGTGGGTCGATGATGACCACGAGCTTCCTGCCATGGCTATCCAGCTGCTTGCCCATGCCAATGGGGTCAGTGAATGAGTGGGGATCCCAAGTAAAATACTTGATGCCATCCGTGTATTCAATATCCAGCCAGATGACATCATATGGGATCTTGAATTTGTCAAACCTCTTGTCAACGTCTTTAACGTCATCATCAGAGATGTAGTTCCATCGACATTGATGATAACCGATAGCAAATTCCTGAGGCATAGCGGTATATCCGGCCAGTTCACCATATTTCTTCGTGACATCCTTCGGAGTAGGGCCCAAGAGCACAAAGACATCAAGGATACCACTTTCAGAGATCCAGTGAGTCTGCGTGCTGGTTGGTGCGCCAGATTTCAGGCTCAGGGGATTGCTGCTGCCTTTGGCCTTGATGATGTCAACCCAGGTTTCAGCAGCATTGAGCCAGAAGACACCGACGGAAGAATCCTTTCGGTGAGCTTGCATGAAAGGAATTGATCCGTAGAGAGTCATAGGGCTATCAAGAATATACTCAAAGACATCGGCATTGTACATGCGGTATGGCTCTTGGAAATTGCCATCGCCACCTCGGGTTTCCTTGAGAGACAAAGGTCCAGTGTGTTCGGGGATACCGTAAACGTGCTCGTATCCGTGGAATGAAATGTCCAAAGCTATACTTTCGGGGCCGCGAGGCTTTGAATCTGTGTTTCCACCGAAAGATTCATCCCACCAAGTGCTTTCATCTTCTTCGGTATTGTTTTCTTCTCCCTCGGGCCGTTCAATCTTGGGTCGCCAATGCTCAACGTTGAGCAAGCCGCGTTCGTTGAACTTGATATGAGAGGCGCCGTCCCTTCGGAAATCGATCTCAAAGGGCGAGAGACGAATGACGGCCTCAAATTTGCCTTCGGGGCCGTACTTGACATTAATTTGGGAGCCCTCCTGGTGGACAATTTCAGCCTTCTGATCGGGCTCTAGACCGCCGACAATAGTCCATTTCTCGGCTTCATTGTAACGTTCTTTTCTGGCAATACTGTTGTGTCTCAACTCTATGTCTTTGTTTTGTCGTCGCTCCTCATCAATGCTGACGCGAGCCACGCCCGATTGGAGAAATGAGATTGTAAGAGGCAGTCGGACGGTGTCGCCATTGGCATTGATTGTTTTGAGGACGATAGCTTGGAGCTGGCCGTCTTTCAGGATAGGAGAGTCGACGATCGCTTGATAGGGAGATACCCATGTCGAGCTCTGGGAAGCCGCGTTGTCGGCGTAGGCGCGATTTCGTTTGCAAAAGCCGGCCTGGTCGCATTTCTTGAAGTCGTGTTCCTTGACACCCACTAGATATCTTATCATCAGCAAAGAAGCTCTCTAATCGCATTATATTTTTTCTTTTCATACAGGCCGGCCCGATTAGGCATGAGAATAAGCTCAGAAAGCTAAAGAGCACTGTCCACTTCTGGGACAGCCCCGTCGTCAACCTCATGACGAGGACGAGACAGGGAAAGTAAACAAAAGAGCTGTGCGGTACAAAGATTCGCTATTCAATTAGGCGGCAACGGTAGGCCACATTGGTTCAGGAAGAGGTCGGATATGCACAGCCTCATCCAGTCAATCGGCTGAGGCGATGGGAGGATGCTGGTGATGGAATTCCCTCCAGAGGCAAGTCTACCACGCTTGAGATTGGGTAGCGTCGTCGAGATTAAGCTATGTTGTCCGTTTGGAACCTCCTCGGCAGCTCTCGATTGGGTATAGCCTGGCTGTCGAGTTGCAACCTGGAGGGGTAGGCCTCGCTAGATGCATTGGAACGAATAATGCGTTTGATATTTGCTTATGGCGGTGAACCCAGGCCGGTGGATTGGCACTGTACGTGGAAGCTTTTCAAGATGGGATGAAATCGTGAAAACTCTCATGAGATGAAAGTCTACATAAAAGAGGAGTCCTTACAGCTGTTCCAGAGACTCGAATACTACATACTTAGGTACCGTACCGGACACAGCTACATCAACAGCTGACTTCCAAGGCTCTGTATTACATGCTCGTCCCATTTCAAGCTTGCTATTAGCCACCTCTGACTCTGCATATTCCCTTTTACATGTACGTGAATCTGCGGTTCCCTATCTGAGATTGAATTTCTGCATCGCATCTAAGAGTTACCATCTCGAAGCTTACCTCCCTCGCTAACAGCAATGCTTATATACTTAGGCGAGAGCCCCTTGGAGTTATACTTTGCGAATAAAATCCACCCAGCAACCTACCGCACTGTACAACGCAGCCATCTGTTCTTTTTCTTGCCCATAGAACTACCAGCCAGCAAATCATCATGCCTGAACCCCACCACGAGGACCCCGCTTCCAGCCCAAAGTCCACCATTTCGCAGCCGAAAAGTCAACAGCGACGCAACCCGCTATTGCGGTGGACTACGGTAACGGTAACCCTCCCCCCACCAATTTTCTTCGTCCCGCTACTTCTAGCCGCCATTTACTTTCTCTTCTCTTCTTCTTCTCCTCAAGTCCAACAACAATCTTGTTCGCTTCAATCCGTTCCACAAGTTCAAACAGCTTCTCTAAGTTCCTCAACTCCAAATATCAACAAAATGGCTACCGAGCAGACGTGAGATACCCCGCCATCTACCCCTCGATCAGGTAGGAATTTTTTTTCCTGGCAGGAGTCTAATCTTCTCGATAGCTTCATTGCCATCAAGCCTGATGGTGTTCAGGTTAGTCTCGCCCTATTGTGTCTTTCTCAAAGGCGAAATTTCTTGTGCTAACTCTACTACAGCGTGGCCTGATCGGCCCCATTGTCAGCCGCTTCGAGCAGCGAGGGTAAGAAACCACGACCCAACTGGTACGAAGCTACAAGGACTGATGATATCTATGTAACAGCTTCAAGCTCGTTGCTATCAAGCTCGTCACTCCCGGCAAGGCCCATCTCGAGGCTCACTGTTGGTCATCACTCTGAACAAACACCAAAATGGTATTACTTACTAACAAATTGATAGACGCTGATCTCGCCGACAAGGGCTTCTTCGCTGGTCTCATTGAGTGTAAGTTCTCAGCCCATAGTTAGACTAAGTCGAGTCCTTTGCTGACCTTCTCTTTTTGTTAGACATGAACTCTGGTCCCATTTGCGCCATGATCTGGGAGGGCCGTGATGCCGTCAAGACCGGCCGTAGTATGTTATCCTGTAAAGCTACCTTTGGATCTGTTTAGCTAACCCAACCACTTAGCCATCCTCGGTGCTACCAACCCTCTTGCCTCCGCCCCTGGCACTATCCGTGGTGACTACGCCATCGATGTCGGCCGCAACGTCTGCCACGGTTCCGACACCGTCGAGAACGCCCAGAAGGAGATTGCTCTCTGGTTCAAGGAGGGTGAGGCCGTTTCCTACAAGGCCTCCCAGTTCGACTGGATCTACGAGAAGGCGTAAATTATCATTTATCAGGAAGTTTCGAACACTGCTGTCCTCGCACCATTGGATAAGCTGCTTGATGATAGAATAAAAATAAAAAAATTATACAGAAGTATGCTTTGTTGCGCCTCTTTCTTCATGGCTTTCGTGTTAGTGTAGATTTAGCTCTAACAAGTATCTTTGCGAACCACGGCGTGGCCCAAACACTACCGATGATTCGAACGGGGAGGAGGGCTTTCGTTATCGCATATGCCAGAGCAACCTCGACGAGTATTTTGTATTTTTGCTCCCCATTGTGCCAGCGCTGCACAGCTTCTTCCACATGCGCGTTCTGGCCCGTGGTTTCGGAGGTAGTCATGTCGGTATTGTCTTCCTGCCCAAAGCCAAACAAGCCTTTGCGCTTGAAATACCTCTCGTACCTCTCGATTCCTCCTTGCAGGGACTCTCCAAAATGATCGGTTACATAAGATATAGGTATATAGTTGGTATAATGAAACAAGGAAAATAGCCCAAACAAAGGTACAATTGCCGTGATTTCGTGTAGAATCATAAACGAAACGACATGCGAAACAGGGGCGCTGCGAAGGCCATTTGTGTATTTTTGCAGGCGTTTGGGGAGCTTGGACGTCAGGCGATCAAAGCGCGATATGCCGCTTGCTTCAGTGGACTGGGCCCGGACTAAGTGCAGGTGCAGTGCAGAAGGGCGTATTCGTATTGTTGGGCGCCAGTTGAGGACCATGCGGGCGCGAGACATGATAGGCGATTCTGCGAGAAACGCGAGTTTGTTAGAGGAGAGTTTTTGACAGTGGTCGAGAAGCTCCATCGGACATTTTGTGGTGGGGCTGACTGGGATCGCTAAGCTTCAGTGCTCTACAGTAGGTGATGTCTTCTAAGAGAATGGCATGTGCATTTCATCTGAACGTGATGTAATACTTCTATTGATAGCAACTTGTAATATATAAATTCTTGATTTTTCAAACATGATATGATTTTGTGATTGTTCTAATCGCCTTGTAACCCAAAATAACGCCCCTGTGATCCTAGGTTGAAGTGTCCAGCAGCGTCACCTGTATGCGTCTTAGCCCATCCGTAGTGCCCGTATCCCTATGTAGCAAAGAACGCTCTCCAAGTATCCCGTATATAAATCGTAGCTTTCATGACGTCGTAACAGCTCATCAGTTTCCTTTCTTGATCAGTCTGATTATTTTTGGTCAGATACAGTCACTTCAGTGGTGGCAGGTAGGTCCAAAGTAACGTACCGCAAAGGTCCGCTTTAGAGCCATCACTCAAGCAGCGGAGTGTTATCGCCAAAGACATCTTGACCTTTGATCAAAGTTGGTTCCTTCGATAGCTTCTTGTATGGCGTGCCTCTATTGCTGATTTTGGCATACAGATGACTCCCTCCGCTAGCGGCCTTGATCCATCGGTAGCAAGCAACGATTCTTTGCGCCATACTGATTGTGTGTGCTAGTGGTGTGATATCGATGGAAGAAGAGGGAAAAAAAAAAAAAGTCTATTTCAAGGGTTTGAATGATATTGAAAGAAAGAAAAGCTTTATAAGTGGCTTGTTTGATAGTTGCTCTGGGCCGCCTGGGCTGTTGGTTGCTGTTATTAAAACTGAACTCTTTCTCCAGATGTGACCGTATATATAACTGCTCGGGATGGCACGACGTAAGGACAATATCGACGATGAAAAGTTGCCCCCTCCTCCCCCCGAACTTTTCTATTTTTGCGTAGCCCCTGAACGACTTCCGTTGGGTTCTGCTGCTTGCCCCAATATTTGTCTAGGCCATCATACAAGGAGAGCTTCACTTTGGTTCGCTATCCAAACCTGAAACGAGAAACAAGTAGGGGCTCCTGGCGCTTCGAAACTGATTCGCCAAAAACTGTCCGGGGTCCCAGTGGCGGAGGTTGCTGGCCAATCAATGCTGCTGACGGTGTCAGTCGTGGCAAAGAAGCCATCTGATGAATCATGAAGTTGCGCCACGAGAGGAGAGGTTAACACGTAAATGCGCAGCCTCAAATGCATACATATCGTTCATAGATATTACGGTGAAGACGCGAGGATTCACTATAGCGTGTGCTACATGGCGTGCCGCGAGACGCACGTGGTCGGTATTTTAGGCGCGCGGCATCGAGACAGACATCTGATACTTGTGTTCACGATCAATCCAAAACAAAAATAAACAGCATAATTACACTGTGAGCCAATATGAATGGACATGGCTACGAGACGAATGTTTAGCTAAGCCTCATTTTCTGGTGTTTGCAGGAGGTCGTCGTTTTACTGTCTTTCCACCCTCACCTGACATTTACTGCTTGCGCATTCCATAGGCTATGTAGCGGCATCTCTTTCTCAGTCTCTCCTTTGTTCTACAGCAAGGTCGCCCAGATACTTGCTCTCGAAAATATAGGTAGCTGGTGTTATACTACTACTATGCCAACTTTTTTTTAATGATAATGGCCAAATGCATGATGATTTTCAATCTCACGGTCGCCTGCCTTCCAAATTATTCCTTCTGACCTGGTCGATGTCTACCCTACTAACTCTACGTGCACTCCAAGATCATAGAAACAAACTGATCGCTTTCAGATTTTGTGACTCGACTCACCTGTCGCATTCAAAGCCTCCAATGTTCTCTTCGCCCACCTGGCAGTACATAGTACCTCAGGTAGCTGGTAGCAGGAGCAGTGAATTCAACCCAAGCTGGGTTGCCGCCTTCCCTTTGTAGTAGCATCTTTGACCGCCTCTATTACACACAATTTTGGCTCCAGAAAGTGCCAAGAGGACTAGGTACCTGCTATTTTGATCATATTCAGAACAAGTTTCTACGTCATCGGCTCATTTATGCCGCCTCAAGACACTCTTTCTCTCTGAGTCGGGGTTTACCTTATACATCTCTTGCCTTCACAGCCGGAGATGCTTCCTCAAATCACCGTAATGACGACTACTGGCGGTGAAGCAGAGGTTCTTGTGTTTTTGGGAGAAAGAAGAACGCTTGGGGATCTTCACTATATCTTTTCCTTCGTCTCTTCTGCTTTCTTTTCACAATCTACGGCCACTAGCTCAAGCTTCACATCCAGCAAACGTACGCCCAGTCGAACGCGCCAAGCTATCATTCGCATACCTTCTTTCCGAAGACCTTTATTCGTTTGTCTTGAGAATCTCATCGACAATGGTCCTCTCAAAGCTCGCCACCGGCCTTGTCGGCGCCATTGGTCTTCTCACGGCCATCAACGCTCAACAGTTCCGCGATGAAGATCTCATCCTCTGTGACTGTGGCATTGGAGACAATCCTGATCAATCAGAATGGTCTACTTCTCGCCAGATGAACTGGTACCAGAACATCAATTGGCCCAGCTCTGCCTACAAATACCCTGAAGCTCCCGACATGGCCGTCGAAGTCCCTTTCAAAGAAGGCTGGTATCCCTGGATCCCTACTGGTGCAACTGCCACTATGCCTAATGGTGATGTCTGGACCGCGTACATTGAAGACGGCACTCCTGATGGCTTCAAAGCTGGAAGTGCAGTCACTACCAAAGAGGGTGGCCAAATGCTCAACTGCTGGGCTTACCGCGGTCGTCCTGTCAGCGCTGCTATCAACAAGACTATCAACCATGATGCCATCTGCTGGAGCGCCTTTGTTTGCAACCGGGACAATCACCCTCCCCCTCGCCCGGCTGACATGGGCTCTCAGACTTCTACCTTGACCACATCTTCGGCGGCCCCTTCTACTACCTTCTTCTCTGAGCCACCACACACTGCAGTCCCAACCTCGAGCAGTGGCGGTCAGCCCGTGCCCGTACCGACTGCAACTCCTCGCACGGGACAGCTCGCTGTTTATTCTACTGTCAGTCCTCGTTTCATCAATTGGCAAAGTTCTTGGGGAGCTTTCATCAATAGCTTTGTCTGGGATCAGACCACTGGTAACTGCGTTGGTGGTCCCATCAAGGGACAAGGCTACACCATCAACGTCGAATGCGCGGGCGTCAAGATCGATGATGATACTCACATGACACTCCTTCTCATCAAGGCCCTTCGCGATGTTGGCCTCAAGAGTTTGTGGTTCAACCAGAACCCCGCCATTCCTGGTATCAACGGAACCAACATTACAGCGCCCAGCTGGGTCGTCATGCCCGAGGCCTTCACCATTAGAGCCACGGACCTATCAAATCGGAATGTTGTCGGCTATCTCTCATACGCTACCAAGTATGACGGCTTCCTCAGCGGTCCATGCTCGGCATGCGAGACGGCTCGCTTCAACTCGGACTTTTTCGATCCCATCATCTCTGCAGTACAGGGCAGCTATCCCGTATATAACAACTTCACCATTGAGGCTCAGTGCAGTCCCTGGATGGCCTGCGTCTAAGAAATATCGGTTGCTACTCTGCTTTCTTTCTTTGTAACTTTCGGCATTTACATGCATCAGCATGTTACTATCACTTAGAGTGTCGCAATTATCTACCTAAATGACTGAGGAGGATGAAGAGTCATATCTTTACATTACTTTCTCAATGCTATAGATGTATGTATGTTGCTCTAATAAAACCCATCTTGTCCATCTTGTCTAGTTTCTCCATTGCTGCAGCCGCTCTCGTGACTACAACGTATCACAGATGTCGATTTAGCAATCTCGTGTAGTTGGATTTGTGTGTTCTGCCTTTGACTTCGTTATTGATCAAGGTTAGTGCAATTGTATGTATGCCGATCCCTTCTTTATTCATCTGATCCATCCGAGTAATAATCGAACTGTCCTGGAACTTGGATCGGCTTATCGTTGGGAGCATCGGGATCAGCTTCTAGGACTGGCTTCGTTGCTTCATTGATTGGTGGAGGATTGGTACTCGGTAAGGGAACGTTATTTCTCAAGATAGAGGTCATCTGCCTTGCCCATTCCCAGGGCCTCTCTCTGCCACCTGGAAGGCTATTGAAGTACTCCCATCCCATGACTCCGCCAAAGCGCTCATGACGTCCTCGAAGCAGAGCCAAGACATTTGAGAGAAATTCCCACATAACAAACCCATTGCCATTTTCTGGATTTGTAATGAGGCCAACAACGACCTTTTCGGCTGGCCAGCCCTTGCGAAGAATCATTTCATACATGATGGGGTTGCTCATATCGCCCCAGCCAGAGTAGAACTGAGTGTTGTACCATGCGATTTCCTTGCCGCGCATGACTTCCAGAGCCTCATAGTCGAAGCCACTGAGGTTACTCCTATGATCAAGGAGAGCGGCGGCAACGGGTGCCAAAGTAATGATAAAGCCTTTGCCGAAATCGCTTCTCAAACGGTCAATGAGGTTGATGACGCCGCCTAATGACATGTCCTCTTCAACATCGAGGTCCAGGCCATCGAGACCCCGTGCGCGGATGATATCTCGTAGAGGAACGTAATATCTTTCGAATTGCTCGCTAGAACCATCCAATCGCTTGTATGATCCTTTGGCCGCTCCGCCAAGCATGCCTAGAACTTTCACCCCAGAGGCCTGGAGAATACGGAGTTCGGCCCATAGCGTTTCGAAGCGCGGATGATGAGGAGGATGGTCGTTGAGTGTGATATGATTGGGATCTTCGTTGAGATGAATGGCGGCTAAGATGACGTGAGTTATTGAGATACCCGGTTGGGTAAGAAGTGGTAGGACGGAGATTGGTTTGCTGGCAGAATCATGGTGGGTTTGGTAGTAGGTAATGATTCTGGGGAGCGGGTTGGAGGCTAGCTGAATTGGCGGCATGAGGAATGCAACGTTCAAAGAGGATTAAGAAATCTGGATCAAGGAATGAGTACAGATGGAGGATAAAATATGACGTTGGAAATGTGAAGATGGGCTGAAAGCTGAAAGTCAACTTGTGTGAGATCAACTGAAGGTATGAGCTTTGGTGGGGCAGGACCCCGCTATCAATGGACGCCCCTCAGCCTTGTGAGAGCAGCTGACATGAAGGCGATAATTTTTTTTTTGTATGTTTACTTAATTATGCATTTGTTGTGTTCAGTATCACGAAAAATCCATTTTATCTTCCAGCTTGTTCATGTGTAGAGTATGAACCCAATGCTAATCACTATACTACATGCTGGCGACTAGAAATGTTAGGCTAATGATGATAAGAGGTACAAGAGGCTGAATTCTCAAATTGTAGGTGTATTTCGTAAATACATGCAGCTAGCCATTTTGAAGAGTGACCCAACAGACAAATTAATAAACTATCCATTTCCATGATCGATTATACACATCGGGTGAATGGCTAACTTAGCTGAAAACTAGGCGATTGCGGATACAGCAAAAGTGTGAATGATAACCTGAAAGCTAAGAATCTGAGATGAAAACACAATGAGCTATAAAAGAGCCTTAAAAAGCTCCCTATTACCGTTTTAGCATTACAAAGCGCAACATGTGTCTTCTGCTGTAACAGCAAGACGACTACGTCTAAGAATGCGTTGCAAACTATCTATATCTATGCAGTCTCTGTCTTTATCGACTTCAAATATATGAAGGCTTTGATAGCTGTTCTTGCAGATTTATTCCGTGTTCTTAAATTGTGATTCATTGTTAATAATAAAGTTGAGTCTTATAAGCTGGCTTTTGCCTCTAGAACGCCATTTGCGGCAGTCCTCAAGCGAATCTCGGCGAGCCTCGCACTCGCGAGGTTGGTTCTGTCTATCTTAATATTCCAATTAGAGTTTGTAAGGGAGATTTGCATTCCTTCCCGCTGCGTCTCTATTCAAAAACATCACGCCTTATAGAGATCGCAGAGATAGTAAAAGCAGTAGAAACAGCGGAAGCAGTAGAAATAGGAGAAGCAGTAGAAGTTATTTAGCCCTTTATTTAGGTGTTAAAAGACGCCTTTGTAGTATCTCGACGACGTCTCTATGCCCATTTTCCTCGGCATATAACAACGCAGTCTTTCCGCCAATATCCTCGGCATTTACATCGATTTTGCCGGTATTGAGCAGCAATTGAATAACTGCCTTATGCCCTTTCTCCGCCGCCAACATCAACAGAGACTTACCGTCAGAGTTCTGTCTGTTCGGATTAATGTGCTCAGCGCTGAGTAACACTTGAACAACTGCCTCATGTCCTTTCCCCACCGCATACCACAGAGGAGAGTCTAGATTAGCGACCTTGCCGGTATTCAACAGCAGTCGAGCAACTGCCTCGTGCCCGTTCCACGCCGCCAACATAAGCGACGTATCACCCCAGCTATCTTTGGCGTTTGGATCGACACGTGGAGCGTCTAACAGCATTTTGACCACGACATCGTGTCCCGCCTCCGACGCCTGTAATAGAGGTGTTCGACCGAAATCATCTTCTGAGATTGGAGATGCTCCCCAACGTATCAATTCCTCCACAGCGTCGATGCTATTACTTTCCGCGGCTAAGGATAGCGCTGTTCTATACCTCCTATTCTCATCCTTGTAGTCCAGGTTTGCTCCAAGCTCAAGCAACGCAATAGCTACCTCTGACCAGCCCAAGGCCGCCGCAGAGCAAAGAGCCTTACTCTTTTCTTCTGCTGTCATTAATGTTCTTGAGGCTGGTAGAGTGAGCCGCAGCAATGTAGAAGTTAGACTGTTGTCTTCTTCGCCGGTGTTAATGTCACGGCGGTTGACCCGGTTTTGAATATCAATATAACGATCGATAATTTCCCCAACAGCAACAGAGATCCCTTGTTCATGGCTTTTCCTGGCTAAAAGCCAATTAATACCATCAGAGCTGAATTTGTTCATGTCGCTGATAGTCATTGCCCATCGATAAAGCTCGCCTAGTGCAATTGCTGCTTGTTGCACTAAATTGTCTGTGTGATGTTGGGGGTTATCCTCATTTGTCTGGGGCTGAGATTGAGATTTGATACAAATATCCCATGCCCATTTTAGCATTACTTCTGCTTTAATCCACTCGCCACGTCTTCGATGCTCGTTCGCTTTTCTCTTCGCTGTGGCTAGAACGCTTTCTGTAGAAGGAATCTTCAGCCGAGATATTATTGGAGGCAAGACACACAATAATGCGTCTTCTCTTGATCCTAGACGCGCGTCGGTGAACAGTTGTATCATTTCCGATACTAGTTTGCTCTCTAAATGGACATGGGGAGTCTCTTGGATGTCGATGTCCTCAACGGCGTCCATGGTGTCAAATATACTCACGAGAAATGCTCCAAAGACTTCCTGAGCGCATAGTGATAAGAGCGAGCTATCTGTAGAAGCAGACCAAACTTTGAATGGGGCAGAACCATGACGCCGCGATGGCTCTGTTGTATACCAACCGAAGAGCCGCGTTTCCCTGCCCTGGTACTGTACGGTACTTGGGTCGCAGCGTTCAGAGGTAGGGCAAACTGATACCACATCGAAAGTAGGCATCTCACTGCCGAGCCAGATGTTCAGGCCAGTCGCCCTGATGTTTTCCTTAGTTGAAACGATGCGTTGAATTGGGATTTCAGCAGCCCGAGATATTGTAAGCCGGTCTTGTAACCTCTCGACCTCAGGATCAGACTTCATTGACCAAACCCACAGTCCCAAGAGCCCTTCCAACTCGAATCTATTCTGTAGTCTCCAAGGGCTTTCTAGACTCCCTCGCGCTAATTGCAAGTATAATGTATGTTGGCTGATACTTTTGCGAGATTCGCTCGAAGCAACAGAAGCAACATCACATGCAAAACTCCAGAGCATAGATTTGTGATCTCTCCAGTCTTCTTGGAATTTGGCATTCTTTGAGCAAATTACGTTGACGATAGATTCAATGGCTACAGCAAGACGCTGAGAGATCTCTCGGACTTCAACCATATCTGAATTAAAATGCTGTGAAGAGGTTGTAGCCCATGTGTTTTGTGGCTGAGTGAGTTGCGCGAGGCGAGTCCGATAAGCGAGTAATTTGCCAGCGATATCCAGATAATCGTTCATAGGCGGACGTTCCTTCATAAGGGTATTTGTGTCATCGCGAGCGCCGCAGAATCTCCAAAGGAGACGACGTGGATGCGGAGAGTCTGGGAGGATATCGTCTCGGCCAATATGCATTGCAAGCCAGTCCAGTTCGTGTCCAACAACCTCGTCTGGACACCTGCGAAGAAAATTGTCGTTCGGTTTCAACCGCTGCATGCGGAGCGCAGACCGGGCAACACTCATCACCATCATCGCTCCAAGTTGAGCCACGGAGATTGCGGAGTGAATGCCTCGTAGCCCAACAAATTGTATCACGAAGCCCACGACAGTAGTACCGACAGCAGTCCACAAGACAAGTTCTGAGTCTGAGCTTCTGGACGGCTTCTTCCACGATGAGACATACTGTAGTAGAGGCTGATCATGGTCGCTGTAGCAGAAGGGATCAAATACTTGATCTCCAAGTACTTGTCCTCCAGGTTGCACCCAATATATAGACGAGGACTTCGATTGGGCATTCCGCGTCGATTGTTTATTAAGAGACTGTTGATTTCTGTGGAAAATTTGTTTGCGGCTAGTTTTTCCAATAAGATATGCGCAGAGGAACATGCCGCCCCATTCAATGAGGGTTCCGACAATGGCCATCGGACAAGCGTATGAATCCGGACGCTTGCCGTCCTTCTGCCACTTAAGACAGTATGTGACAATGACAGCAAAGGCTAACACGCTGATTTGCAGGACTGTGCCGGAAACGGCGACTGTCCAGGACACGACAGTAGATTGCCTTTTAATGCCGATATTCAAGGATAGGTTGGGGGCAAAGATGTTGGCGACAGACTCGTCGGCGGCGACAGGCACATCTAAGACAGACTCATCGACAATAGACATGTCCAAGACAGACTCATTACCGACATCTGCGACAGACTTATCTTGTCTAGTCCATTCATCTGGGCGTTTTCTAACGAATTCGCGACATGGATATATTCCCGCTGTCTCGTCGGCACTTTTAGACGGGTCATAGACGACCTCGAGGATCTTCGGTCGTCCGAAGACCCGCGCGATGCCACCGTTGTTGTAGAGTTCACACACATCTCGACTTGTTGAGGAACAAAGCTCTGCTTCAGCGTCCCCACCGCCCTCTTGCGCTCTTCCGATGAAGGCACGCAACGAGGGACTCCCACAAACTCGGATCGCAGAAATAACAGCTGTCAAGATCCCTATCGGCGCGATCGAGAAGATATAGTAATCAAGCAAAGTTATGCTCTCGCTGAGGTATTGTTTCGTGGTTTGCTCGCCGAAGAGGGCCAAGAAGGGTGCAAGGTCGGTGGCAAGGTTGTTGGAGAAGTCATCCCAGCCGTCTGCGCGCACGGAAATCAAAAGACAGAAGATGAGGAAAGCAATAAATAGTAACTTCATGATAATGCACGCTGAGATTCGTCTTCTTACATATTTAGAGATGTCTGATTTACATATAGGCCCAACATTGCTCAAGGCACGGCCCTTCTCTTTATATACCATAATAGCTGATTTTCCCTTTTTGCCGCCGAAGAATGCGCCAGTATGTAAGGCAGATTTACGCGCCGAGAGGCTCAGAATCCGGGCTCAGCTATTGGATGCTTGTAGGACAGACAAGGGCAGCTAGGAAAAGTGCACTACCAACACACCAATAATTTGCGTGAACTACAACCAACACAGGGAAACCCGCATTCGTGATACGCTTCCTGCATTAGTATAAGAGTAGAGCCAACACATTCTGCGCAGGTGAGGAGAAGGCTGCTGTTAAAGAATAGTATTGAAACTATTGAAGATCAATGTTATATTTAGTGGGAAGCTTATGTGGTTGATGGTGCAAGGGACTATTATACGGCTCGGGCCGGGCTAGTGTGAAATGTGTAGGTCGATTTAGCTGCAACAGCGATAGTTTGTAGCTGGAGTAGCGGCGGTAGCGGTAGAAGCTACCTACAGAAGCTATAGTAGCGATAGCAATATATCAAAGAGATCAAATAGAGGCGATATAAGTGGTAAAAGAAAAGAAAAATATGATTTTGATTGATATTTATGCAATAATAGTGAGTATAGGCAGACGCGTGTTGTGGTGGCTACGAGCCTCGCTGATGATCTGACCACACACCTGGCAAATCCTAAAGAGGCCGCCTATGCACCGACAATTGGAGTAACACTCAGCCACATCAGTCCTAGATTGTCGTTGTAGTAAAGGAGATATTTGCAGTGATAAGAAACCATCTCTTCTCGTTGATTCGTACCCTGTTATCATCTTATTTACAGTAGGACTGAACTACATTATTTGTCCGAGCCTCTGCTTGTATCATCAGAGCATTTACTTTTATCTATGTAGTGTATCAAAAGAACCAATTCCAAGGCAGCACGATTACACGAACTCTACCTAGGCTTAGAAAAACTTCAAGCTTCTAGCCGATAAAGAAGGGTACCGAATCCGAGCTGGTCGTAACCACCGCTGGTTGTGCCATAATCTCCGCCGCCGCCCTCAGCTCCGCCTCCATTAGACACAACCAAGTCACGATACTGTTTTGACCAAGATGCATTCAGACCTTTGAGGGAGCTATAATGGCCATAAATGAGTTCCCATATCGGACGAACATCACCTCGGCTCGCGTTGCTGATTGTGGTCTGCGTGACATCGCTGTTAACATAGGTTGTGTACGGAACGTCAAAGCCAAGATTGTACTTGGCAGCATATTCGGCTCTAATAAAGTTTTGATCGTGGTCAGCTACACCTCACGCAGAAATCGGGACAGTATTTCTCACCCGGCCAAGATTCTGTTGGAAAGGTAGCCAAATAAATCATTTCCCTGGTTGTATGCCTGCTGAGCAAGCACTCCTAAAAGCACAAAGTCCAACATGGCATGCCCCTGATCCCTCCCAGCCTCTTGGTTCTGCCCCAGGGTTTTGCTACTTCCAGACTCGGTGTATGTCACCCAAATGGCCTTGTTGATAGCCCCATTGCCCGCACCGCTGTTGAAATAATTGACAGCTTCGTTTGCCATTGTAGTATTGTCCGACAGAACACCAACAGCATACATGGTGCAAAGATTTGCCAGATCCCAGTTGGCCCAATAGTGATCGATCTTGGCACCGTTATGATTGACGATGAAATCATGGTTCATGGGATAGAACACCTTGTTGAGCATCGTCTTCATGGCAGCAAGACCGGTCCAGCTCGAATAACCGCGCAAGATCTCGGCCGCATTGGCCAGTTGGTACCCATAGATACCACTGGCGAGGAACTTGTCAGAGGAACCGTCGATCAAGGTGAGAGTGCTGCTCCAAGCATCCAGTGTAGTCGCTGCAGCCGTGGCATACGCCGTGTCGCCTGTAATTTTCCAGTAAATCGCATTGGCGTACGCAGAGGCCGCATCGCGATACAAGCTGGCATAGTTTTCAGGCGAACCGGTGCCGCGATAGACTGTGGGCTTGGGGCTGGGGACGTAGCCGGAGTTGGCATGAGCTGCCAGCTTATTCCACCCAGCGTACCATGGATTTGTCTTTGCGTTGACCTTGGATTTGATACGGGTGAAGTCAGCTTCGGTGTGAAGAAGGCCCGGATGGATGAATCCAGCGCGGGAATCGAGAGGGTGAGAATCAGTGGTGGACGAAGGTGATGCTTGAGTCAGAGTTGATAGCGCAAGGCTACAGAGCAGAGTCCCAACGATCGACGGTGCCATGTTCACAGCTGCGAGAGGAAGGGAAACCTTTGCTAGGTTTCAAAGTGCGATGTTCAACGAGGCGTTTTGAAACCCATTTCATCCAGGGAATTGCTGACTTATTTATGCTCAATTTTCTCGACAATTGTTCTTAATCGACTACATGATTTAGCTGCAGCTCGTACTTGAATGAGCGGATGTCTTCACCGAATAGCTAGGCAGTTTAGAATCACACATGGAATTGAACGCTGCCATCAGCCATAGTGAGCATCAATAACCTCTACACCCCATATCGGCGTGAGTCTCGGTCCGCAGAAGGTTGTAATTAGGTGCCCCTAGCTACCCCGCGAAAAGGTCAAAGGACGTGAACTAAGAGGCGAATCATGGGGTATGCGGCAAGGGTTTTCCGTGGAGATATGTCGCTACTCGGCACTTACATGAAGTCAACTACCTATATCCCCAGTTGCAGCGTACTCGGGATAGGTAGCTGGGAGGACTGTTTTCCAAATCGCTGTAATACGGTTTTAACAACTACAAATTTGCTATTACGTTTTAATACGGAATTGTTGTCCGAGCCTTTGGCCGGAGGCCGTCAGCTAACTAAAGTATCCGTAACGCTACCCCAGACTTGCCCCCGCTTAAACACAAGCTGCTCTGTCGATCGCAAAGCGGGGACAAACATGGATGCAAGATGGTGTATGCCGTATGTGTGGACATGTCAAGCCCGCGCCGGTTTTGGCCGCGAATACACCGCCAGATGAGAGATGAGAAAAGCAAATCCTAAGGGTGAATATGGCCGAAGTAGACGACATAGACGACCAAGTGTCGGTAGCCGATGAAGACTTCGCTTTGAGCAACAACTCAAAGAAGCGCAAGACAATTGCCAAGGATGAAGGGCCAGCGTAAGTCTCAGCCAAACAACTCATTGGAGTAATTCCAGCGTCTGAAACCTGCTCCCAGCTGCCAGTCATGTCGCCGGAAGAAAGCACGCTGCAGTCGTCAGCAGCCCTGTGATCAGTGCCTCAAATATCGTGGGTTTTGCCTCATTAATTGCGGCTTTGTCTGGGGCGAGATAACTAAACAGCTTCGGTAGACTTCGAGTGTGTTTACGATGAGAAGAAGACGAAACCTGGTCTACGAATGGGGGCCATTGAGCATCTCACACAGCGAGTTAGTAAGCTGGCATGCATCAAACTTGGACAGTGAAAAGGATGGACAGTTTAACTCACATGCGATAGCGACCCTGGAGAACATGTTCCTTGGCCAAGGTGTCTTATGGCAACAGGTTTGGAAATGCTTAAACTCCCTCGGAGTAGAACAGCTTCCGTCCGACTCTGGATGTTCCCCAGGCCATGCATTAGACGGAGAAGAAAGCAATCTGAGAGAACACACTCGTAGACTGAGAGATACACTTTCTTCGTTGGCAAACCAGACCACGGGCGACCTCTCCGATTGTGATAATCCTTCTCCAAAGCGAAGGCGAACTCATGAAGAGCGGACAAAGGTACAACGCGGCGAGTCAGGAGACTTCGGTCACGACGTGGAGCTTCCACCGGACGATCTCATCGATGCTCTTGTTGAGATATATTTCGCCCGGATCCATCCCTGGATTCCGATGCTGCATGTCCGCGAATTCCGAGAGAGGATGGCCACCCCTTCTAAGCGGCAGCGACTGACGACGATATTTCACGCCATAGTCTCACTTTGCGTGCGGTTTTCGCACGATCCGCGACTTGATGAGCCCGAGGCGCGATTGAGATACGCAAGGCGGTGTCGCCAGATAGTGATCATCAGGAGTATGGAGTCCTTCTCGGTTGAGAACCTGCAGGCGCTGATTATCTGCGCCTTTGATGTTGTAAGGTGCATCCTTTTCTTGGCTAATTAGTTTCAACTCTCACACAATTGCTAGATCGGGAGCGGTCGCGGCCCCTCGGCTTGGTCCATTGTAGGAAGCATGGCGCGGACGGCTGAGCAGCTTCAATTGAGCATCGAAGATGAAGAAAGCCACTCGCCGTCAGGAGCTCTCATCAAGCGAATCGCATTTCTCCCACCCTGCAAGAGCTGGAAGGAGGTCGAGGAGAGACGGCGGATTTTCTGGAATGTCTTTCTCATGGATCGTTTCTGCAGCATCGCAACTGGCTGGAACTGCTCCCTAACAAGTGCGGACGTGAAGAGAAGACTCCCATGCGAAGGCGCCTTGTGGGAGGAGGGCGAGCCCCTCAAGACACCAACTCCCTACTTTGGAATCGCGGACCAGTCTGTCAACATGAACGCAGCAGGCGCCCTTCCGACAGCGCGGCCAGAAGACGAGGACCCTTCTTCGCTGGGCGGTTTCGCGTACTGCATCGAGGCCACAGAGAGCCTCAGTCTGGTCACTACGTTTTTCCTGCAGCAAGCTGTGGATGTGTCCAAGATGCGGGACGTGCAGCTCTGGCTCATGAAGTTTAAGCAGCTAGACTTACGACTGGTGCAGTAAGTATTTCTTGATGAAGCGCTGCACTGGAGATATATGCTGATGATACATGCTTCAGATGGAAGCTTTTTCTCCCGGAGCGATGGCGAGAAGCCTGCGTATTGAACGATGGCATCATGGATCCAAACCTGACCCTCGCCCACATCACTCATAACACCGCCGTGGTCCTCCTACACCAAGGGATTGCATACCCATCTGCAGAATGGCAGGCCACGACCATAAGACTTCCCTCCGCTTCCAGCGCCGAGACCTGCCTCGCTGCAGCCACAGAGGTGGCAATCATTGCCGACAAGTTTCTTCAGTGCTCTCACATTCTCACAAATCCGCAATTCGCCTTCTGTCTGTTCATTTGTGGCCGGATGCTTCTAGCCCACGCCATCCATTATAGCTGCCCGCTGGCCCCGGAGTTTGAGTCGCTGATAAGTAGCCTGAGGGAGATCTCAACAAGATGCAATGGGCCCCACACAACAACCGCTGCCCCCGACAACTTGGCCTCCAAATTTGCTGTTCGCCTTGACCAGGCTCGACAGCAGGGGGCTGAGCCGCTGGATATCAGAGAGGCGGCATACTCCCAGAGTAGTAGTATGAAGGCAAGTAGCTCTGCTATACGTCAGCAAAGTTTCGCTGGTGAAGGTCCCGGCATGCAATCAGCCCACCTTGGCATCCCTGTTGGAACGAAATCTGTCGGAATGGTCAGTCGTGATGAAGAAGGCTCTCCAGACAGCATCTCTCTTGCTTTTCCACCTCTTCCGTTGGCTTTCCAGCCTCAGCCTGATAGTGCCGCTCAGACGAGAATGCCCTCTCCAATGCCAATAACGGGCACGATCCCCGACCCTTCTTCGGTATTTTTTATGCCGAGCGCATCGTACGACGATCCAGGACCGCCAAGTATGGATCCCGTGACGGGATCTGGCTTCGAGCAGCTCAACTCCTATCTGGAGTATTCATTTCTGCCAAACCAGAGGATCAGTATGTTTTCGCAGCACGATGCCAAGGACACAACAATGCTTTAGATGCTTTAGAGAGTTATATATGCTATGGAAGTGAAGTTTTGGGTTTCGAGTACAGAATGGTTGTGCACTTTAAAAACGTTGAAGCGGTCTAGGCCAGAGTTGAGGAACCGGCTATAAAGTGTATCTAATTGCTGAACCATATATCTGCCATATTCATGTCTTTGAGATGCTTATTATATATAAGAAAGCTCGTTTGTAATCTCTGACTAGTAGGTCGACCAACCTACTCAGTCCTCAAGATGAGCTGCCCGATCCCCATCTCTAAAAGCTTGTTTCCACATAGAAGAAAGAAGTAATCCGCATAGACGAGCCCATGATTTGCCCATCTGCGTGGCGCAAATTCGAAATTGTTAATCGTAGCCCCGTTCAATATGGTCTCGCCCTCTCCAAGATCAACAGTCACAGCTCCGTGTTCGAGAGTCACGCCATGCTCGACTGTTTCCACTTCCAGGCGCGGCACTACAAACCTCGCAGGTGGATTCAAATGATGTTCGCATACTGCGTTCAGAATCCGGAGCGCCGCGGCAAGATACTCGGAGCTATCTCCGCGAGCGATCATTGATTCGTGAATCAGCAGCATCCCATACGCCGCGATGACTGCGGCGCTCGTATCCGTGGGCTGTCTGCCGTCCTTTGGCGCATCAAAATCCCATGGAGGAATCAGAGTCGTCGGAAGATTCTCCAGAAAGTAATCAGCGCAGTCTCTCGATGTCTTGAGGAATGAAACGTCACCCGTCCAGCTGTAGGTCTGGGCAAAGCCTGCGATGGCCCAGGCTTGACCTCGTGTCCAACAGGACTCATGTCCCATTCCCTGGTTTGTTAGCCGCTGCTTGACTGTGCCAGTCGCGGGGTCAAAATTGACCAAATGAGTAGTTGTTGAATCTGGTCGAATAAGCTCACGCTGGCTTAACTTCGCGTGGGACAGAGCAATGTTAAACATTGCACTATCGTTGGTTTGAGCTGCAGCCCAGAAGACGATATCAAGATTCATCATATTGTCCTACTTACAGGGATTAGTCAAGACGAAATCCGGTATTTCCATCGAAAACACGAAGGTGATGTCCAAAGCACACGTACGATAATGACCAGAAAATCAGTGCTCAAATCTTTGAACGAATACACCTTGGTCTCACACGTGTCCCAGGATCTTATAGCTCCAATAATGGGGTTGAAGCGCCCAGCCAGTGTCTTGGCCGCGTTGATCATGGTCACGTACGACTGGGTATCGTGGAGAAGCTCCCACTGGCGTCGTGCCCAAGGTGCTATCATAAAGCCAAGATCGTGTGTCCCTTGTAGTTGCGAATTACAGTGTAAATTTGCTGTCCACCACCGGCACGCAAATTCAAGCTGTAAGACATGTGGTGCTGCTATACTAGACTTCCCAGACGCCTGCTGCTGTGCAATAACATGGCCGAATCTCCTCTGCCTCTCAAGAAGCACGTGCAGAGAGCCCGGAAAGAAGCCCGATGTCCAGAATTCGAGTTCGCGATAGATGTATTCGACGCCACCCGGCTTTGTGTATTCCGGATACAACGTTGGTGGTGTAGGCTGCCGGCTTTGATCAATACTTGGCTGCCACTCAGACATTTTGCAAAAGTGCCTGCACAGTTTATTCGTACCTTGTCTAAGTCTCTTTGGGCAATTCCCCATATCTTTGCAACTACTGAGTCTGAGTATAGCTCGTGTATAAACCCCAGTCCGCTTGGAATCGAGGCTGTTTTCTCGTTGGACAAGAGACTTCGACTGCCGACTCCGTTTGGAAGCGTATTGCGTTTCTAGGAGACGAGAAGGTCAATATTTTGAGAAATAGATGACTTTGCTGTGTCATAATAGAAGTGTAAATTGTACCTTTGTTTTCACATGGATCCCTTCGGCTTCATTTCCTCTTTCCTCCCCACGTCGTCGTTTGTGTATTCCATTCATCCTAAATGGCCCCTGTATTTTTCTTTCTTCGCGATGCTGATACAAACGAAATTTGCAGATGCTTGAGAACCTCTTAATCTTCAAAGCCCAAAACTTAGACTAAAGATCTGAGCTTGGAGACCGGGCTATCATGCAGAACTTCGGTAGGCTGCCATTTCTGCGTTCCGGCAAGACGGTCTTTGCCGCGCATTGCTTTTAGCTAAATGTGATCCATTATGCATCTCTTCTTGCCATTGCTCAAATTCCCGGACCGAAATGAAACTGCTGGCCATGTGCTCGTGCTGATTTGATACCGGGCTCTGGTCCGGGATTTTGGCCGGAGGCCGGTATCCTAACTTGATCTTCGGACGTGGGGGAATATGTGGAGAATGGGCGGGAAACAACACAAGCTGGGATATTGGGACATTGGATCTCGGCTTAGTGAAAGCCAGAAATTGGTTATACAGGGTAATGTTGTAAGTAATATCGCACTTACGCCCACTCTAATTACCTTCGGATATGATAGATCTCTTCGAATTCCGTAGTTGGCGATAACATCAATCTCGGGCCATTCCACCAGCTTCAATATGATTCTCACTCAGCCGCATTTTGCTTGTGTGGCAGCGGCGATTGGACTTTTAATACACTTCGTTGTAGCCACTGGGCCTCTGAACGGGCTTCCTGTGCTCAATGGGCCTGTACCGGTTGTCCCACTGGGTCTTGGGTCCAAGAAACGTGTTGGCGAGTTTATACACCCGGGAATTTGGCATACGCATGACGACCTAGAGCGCATCAGATTGGGAGTGGGGAATGGGCAAGAACCATGGAAATCAGCATTCGAGAAGTTCAGTCTAGATTCCTTCTCCCAAGCCTCTGTAGGTTGAACATACTCGCGGATTTGAAGCTCCATACACGTAGGATGAAAGCTAATTTCTCTATCAATCCTAGTACGTTATGCAAGGTCCCAAAAGCATCATCTGCCGAGGTGGGTGTAACAACAACTACACGACCTTCAGCAATGACGTTCACGCAGCATATCAAAACGCCTTAATGTGGTATATCACGAAGAATGAAAGCCACTGGGATCGATCCACCACGATTCTAGACGCTTGGGGTACTAATTTGACTTCCATCATCGGCACAGACACTTCTCTTCTTGTCGGACTTGAAGGAGACATGTTCGCCAATGCGGCAGAGATCATGCGATGGGAAGGAGGCTGGGTCGAGGCGGGAGCGAAGGCTTCAGGTGGAAGCGGATTCTCGAATCAACTGTATTGGCTGTTTGCTCGGCAGTCCATTATTATTGGCCAGGCAAATTACGGTATGGTTAGCATCAAGGCCCTGTTGTCCTTTGCCATTTATCTAGATGATGTGACACTGGTGAGCTTCAACTTCCCAACACTAGACGAGACACAATGACCCTTGGCTAACGAACAATGATAGTACAATTACGCCGTACATGCTTTTCAGAACGATCTCTGCGCTGGAATATACGGCAATTTCCACCCAGAAACTGGACAAGGTGCAGAAACCGGCCGCGATCAGGGCCATGCACAGGGTGCCCTGGGCTGGACTGCAGAAGCGGCCAGGATCATGCAGTCACAGGGAACAGATGTGTATTCACTTGGAGATAATCTTCTACTCAAGGCTGCGGAATACACAGCCAAGTATAACTTGGGCTACGACGTGCCCTACGATCCCAAGTTCTATCGATGCGAGGCAGTTCTGATCAACGGGCCATGGGCCATGCCATCCAACATCAGTCGGGGAGCCGTACAATCAACGCCTAAAGTTTGGGATGTACGTTTGTTTTCAATGAAACAAGTTTTATGAAAGACTAATATTAATCTTGATCCAGATCTTGTACTACCAGTATGTTATCAAGCGCGGCCTTCGTGCTCCCTATACCACCAAAATGAAGCTCACGATCAATGACCTCGGAGGTGAAGGTAGCCGTAAGTAGAATTGACACTAACTGTTAGATGGGACTTGAGCTAACTACAGAGAAATAGCCGGTACAAGCAGCCCTGATGACCATCCGAGCTGGGGGGATTTGATCTGGTCCTACGACAAGAAGGGGCAGTTCATCAATGACGACGGGAGGACTATCTGGGGAGGCGGTGCAATTGGGCCTAATGGGACAGGCATGATCAACTCAGCTTGAGAACGGTAGTTTACTGCTCAAGAAAAATAACGATACATCTAATAGTCCAACTACCTTTTTCGCTTCTCGGCCTCCATCCCGCGTCATCTCTGTACTGTATTCAGTCTCTGGGTAATTCTTCAGCTATCTCTCTGAGAAAACTACCACTTTTGTCTGATTCAAAGCTACGTTTTCCAGCACAATATTTTCGTCTCTGAAACGATAATCTTTTCCAGTCCAAACTTCTCGCATGGAAAACTTGGCCAAGTGAGATCCATTCAATCCTAGTAGTCCACCGAAAGGAATTGTGATGCTTGTGGTGTTCAGCCCGTAGTTGAGAGCCAGCACTACATAGCGTGACTTGCCAGAGGCAAGAGGCCCGCCCCAAACTTGGACCTTGTGCTCCGTTGAGAGTTCTGGCAGATAGTTGACTGCTATACCAGCATCATCCTGAGAAATTGCAATCATCTCCTTGTTCATCAAGATGTTCAGAGACTCCTTGCTGATTGTGTTGACATCGGCGCCAATGATCAACGGTGACTTGAGCGCAGCCCAGAAAGAGAAATGGGTCTGTTCCTGGTGCAAGTTCATGGTTCCAGTACCAATCTCAAGCATATCCATGTCACCTAGGTCAAGTCAAATTAATAAATCTTGAAAGGGATGATGGGGATACACTACTTACCCCATGACCCAGGTCTCTGAAATCGTGATAGTTCTCGCATCTTGCGGATCATTGTCAATACACTGACTCCGGCGTAACCGGTATTTAGACAATAAGCAGATGTACAAACACCGCTACTATCCTCTCCAAATGCACTTTTGATGTCTCCCGAGACTCTATAGCTATCTGCAAAAGATGCCCAGTGCCACGGAAACTGATTTCCCCATTGACAAAGCGAGTAGAAGATTTTGCGACCAGATCGGTTCAGAGCATCCCCCATGCGCAGGAAGCGCTCCTGAGGAGAAAGCGTGCCTGCCTGGAAGCTGCCACAGTTATCCAGCTTGAGATAATCTATCGTCCATGCTGCGTATGTAGCAGCATCTCTTTCCTCGTAACCATAGCTTCCTGGGTAAAAGGCACAGTCATATATGCCCGAGTCGCTTGAGCAGCTTAGTGTTAGTAGGCCAAGTCTCAAAGAGACGTGCATCGCTCACTCACTCACCTGTATATGCCGATTCGAAGTCCCAAGTGGTGCACGAAATCTGCCAATGCTTTGATGCCGCTGGGAAACCTGGTAGAGTTTGGTTGCTGGCGACCCGAGGAATCTCGTGTAAAGGCTTGCCACCCGTCGTCCAGGTTGACGTACTTGTAGCCAGCCTGAGCTAGGCCAGTGCTCACCAGACTGTTTGCGCTGGACTTGATCAACGTCTCATTGATATTGCTCTTAAATGTGTTCCAAGAATTCCATCCTAGACAGGTTAGTCACCGCCATATACATGAGGTTGATAGTTCCAAATCACCCATCTGAGGCTTTGCTGGATTCACACTGCCTAGGCACGGAACGGCCAGGAGTCCGGCAACCAGTGTTGTGACAAACATTGTTCGGCGTGAATAACTGATTTGAACAACTGCGATCCTGAATGCGGAAATCTCTGACGGCACATGGAATTGCTTCCTCAGAGTACCATATACCACTACTCCTTATTCCTTGCCATAACTAGAAGAATTGCCATGGCTATTCCTTTCTCTGCACCGGGCCTGGAATTGTCCCGGGACAACCAAACTACACTACATGCACGTCCAGACACTTGCATCCTGTCCGGGATATTGTGCGGGGTCTCCAAGAGATCTACTCTACCCCCGGTCCTTCTCCGCAAGCAGTGCATTGGGGACCGGTTTGCGTCCAAAGGCCCGTCTTTATCTTGAACCGGCGGCCTAGAAGACATTCACATTCATACAAATTTTCTCATACTGGGCAATTCGAGGAACATAACTCAGCAAGCATGGTGAAATCTCGCACACTATTCTTTCTCTCCCTCTTGGGAGGTCTCTCCTCCGCTGATATTGTTGATCGCGATCTCTTGGAATATTTCCCATCTCCGTCCGGCACTTACATCCCTCCCAAGGATCCTAGTATTAGAACATTGTTAGATGTTGTCAAGTCAAGAGACGACCTAAGTATACTGGCGGAAGTGCTAAGTGAATGCGCTGGTATGCGTTCTTGACGTTTACTTCTTGTTGCTTGAAATATGGCTGCTGACGATCAATAAGGGTTCAGTGAAGCTTTCGATGCGGCTGCTTCTTGGTCTTACACCTTCTTCGCTCCTTCGAACACGGCTTTCAAAAACACGGGAGCATACTTCTCTACATTTGCTGCTACCCCAAAGGGCAAATGGTGGCTTGGAAATCTCCTCCAGCACCATTACGTGCCGAATTCTAAACTCATGGTCAAAAATTTCAACACCACGTACACACGCTTCCAGACCGGGACTTTTCTATTTGTTGGAGCCCAGATTGTTGACGGGACGCTTGTTCTGAACAAAGTTGCCACCGCCACTGAAGCTGATATTCCAGCGACGAATGTAAGGCAATAATCTACTGAGGTTATGCAGCTAGAATTCCGGTTGACTCGTATTCTATAGGGCGTTATCCACATCATAGATCACTTATTGGATCCGTCAGCGCAGGTATTTGAGGTGGATCTGGCGAAAACCAGCCAGGGGTTCATACCGGGAAGCTGTTCAAACCCAGCCTTGCCATACTGCTGAGCTTTACCTATGCGTAGAAGAATAATTCAAGGGGTTGAAGAAATGCTAAATGTCCCAAACGATGTCGGACTGGCCTCTGATTCCTGCGGGTGAATGATGGAGGTTATGAATGCCCATGCTATTTGCTCTTTTCCGGTGGATAACTGTAACTATGTACATGTCTGGTACAGTTGGCTAGGTTACAGGGAGGTGGGTTCAATGTTAGGTAAAATCTCAAGGAATCTTTTAGCGTTCCGACTCAGCACGTCTTCACAGCATTTTTAACCTCCCTCAGGCTCACTTCTAATCCAAGCTGCATGACACTCTGAACTCAACTACATGTATTCAATAGAGGCGGGCTCATTGATATCTAATTCTCAGCAAAATAAATATAGAATACAGTTACGACGAGGCGGCAGAACTTGATGAATCAATGTACCCAGAAAACCACGTTGGAGACACAAGACTGCACTAAGAGCCCCAGGAAATAGTTCAATTTTTTAAGTGAGAGATTTTCAAGTATGTCTCACGTCGTTCAGATGCTCTCCCTGGCCATTTCGACATACCTTAGGTTCATCTCAGTGCATGTTTTTCCTTCAGTCTCTACTCCATAAGGGAGAGAATTGGGACTTATCTGAAAACAACTGGTCGGCTAGAGAATTAGCCAAGTCCAAGTCGTAAAGTCTGGGGTATAGTGGGTCAAGCATACATCAAATGTTGCTAAAACTCGATAGCGTAGGGGTCCGGAGCAAGTCTCGGGAGTGTCCGCCGTCGCCAACTCCACAGTGAATGCGGAGAGATGCGACGTCTTCATTCAGACTTTTATCGAGTATCGTATATCAAGATGAGGAGGTGTGAGATCATGGCGATGGATAACAGCACACCGTGCTCACGCACTCATTCAACAACCCCAGCCTCTGCGCACATTTTCAGGCCAGGCGCAATCTCATCATGGTGCCATCCAAGGAATTCGAAGCCTCGCCGATGAGCGACCACCAAGAGGCGATCAAGATGGAGGCCATGACCGTCAAGTATATTGGCAAGGGAGATGAGGAGACAAGCCGCTACCTCGGCGATGCTCCCATTGAGATTGACGCAGCTACCAATAAACGCATCTTCTGGAAGATCAATCGTCGTATACTTGCCATTCAGCTTGTCACGTATTTCTGTCAATCCTTGGATAAAGGAACGCTCAACTTTTCTTCCATCATGGGTATCCAGAAAGATGCGCACCTCGTTGGTCAACAAGTAAGAGTCATCGATCTGTCTTGAAAGAGAGTCTGTTAACATCTCTGGGCAGTACTCTTGGCTCGGAACCATCCTCTACATGGGTATTCTCGTCGGCGAGTACCCGCAAAACTTCCTCCTACAGAAGCTACCACTGGCAAAAGTTCTGGCTGTCAATGTATTTTGCTGGGGCGCTGTTGTGGCTTGCTCTGCCGCTTCATCAAGCTTCGCCCCTCTTATGGTTGTGAGATTTCTGCTCGGTTTCTTTGAGAGCTGTATACAACCGGCCATGATGCTGCTGTGAGTGGCGTCTCCTTTGAGCCTTATTCCGCTTCTAACAGCTTCCAGTACTTCAATGTGGTACACGAGATCTGAACAGTCGCTCTTGAACTCACTATGGTATTGCATGACGGGAGTACAGCTCATGGTAGGTGCAAAATATGTAATATGTTCGTTTCTTTCCAACTAAAAGTGAAACAGGTCGGTGGTCTTCTCGCTTTCGGCGTCTCATATTTCACCAACGGACCAATAAAAAACTGGCAACTTCTCTTCCTGGTGCTCGGCCTAGCTACCGTGGTTTGGTCATTCTGCATCGCCATATTCTTGCCTGACAGTCCTATGAAGGCAAAGTGTTATACAGAGGAGGAAAAGAAGCTCATGATTGAACGTGTGCGCCAGAATGAAACGGGCATCCAAAATAAAGAGTACAAGAGATATCAGGTTGTTGAAGCCCTAACTGACCCATTCGTGTGGTGTTGCACTATGCTCATCACAGTGGCCAACCTCGTCATTGGCGGTCTTGGGGTCTTTTCGAATCTCATCATCAAAGAGTTTGGTTTCACGTTACTTCAGACCAATCTCCTGAATATTGCACAGGGTGCAGTTACTATCATTGTCATGGTTGGATCCGCCCAAGCTTCTCAAAAGTCTGGGCAAACTTGCTTGATGATGCTTGTAAGTCTTGAAATACCGTACCACAGCCGCAAGGTATCACATGCTAACCAGCACATAGCTGTGGACGCTTCCCGCCATTGCCGGTACTATCGTGATTCTAGTGGTCGTCCCTAACTCGGGTAATGCCGGAGGGATGCTCATCGCTTTTTACTGTACACAGTTCTTTCTTGCCCAGGGTAATATGATCATCTCGCTTGTTACGCGGAACATTGCTGGCCAAACCAAGAAAGGCATTACCATGACAATGGTCTTCGTAGGGTGGGCTGTTGGTAATATGGTTGCGCCGCAGATCTTCCAGCAAAAAGATGCTCCCAGGTATCTCACTGGATTTGTTGTACACTGCGCCATTTACGGGACGTACATCCTCCTGGTTATCTTGACCCGTGTGATACTGGTGGCGAGGAACCGCCGCAGGGACGCTCTCGTCGCTGAGGTCTCACATGATCTGGCCTTTGAGGATCTTACTGATCAGGAGAATCCCAATTTCCGATACGTGTACTAGGCTTTAGTTGCACTCAGATATTTCTACTATCAATTACATTTATATACTTCAATAGTTCCTATATTCTTGAATCTCCAACTTACAGTTGTAGATCAAACCTATGTGTGTTACAGCGTCTGAACTATAGTAACAGTCTAAGGACAGTCATCAAAGTACATGTAAGTGAGCTTTTGTGCTTTCTGTTATCAGCATAGTCTTGGTGGTTGGTTGTGTGTCTTACAACAGAAGTAGTACATAAGACGTCTGATAGATTACTAGCTCAGGGTACTAATTCCAACCTTTTCAATTCAGGCTATGTGATCTCAATGTTTATGCTCATTGTCTACCTACCATGCCCTAAGACCCCACAATCTTATGACACAGGAACGATCAATCGATCGACATCGGCCGCGTAAGTGGAATTCCCAGCACCACTGAATGTTATGGTATTATTTCCCTTTTGAAGAAGTGTGTGCAGTGTGCTATTAGAGACACCAGAGCCACTAGGCAAATATTCGAGCTTGATAGGCGTGCCACCATTGACGACAACTGCGCCGAATCTCGGCGTTGAGTCGCCGTTCCTGTATTGAATAGTGATTGTCGTCATGGTAGCAGCGCTGCTCGAAATCTGACGGAAAGTAACCGTACCGTTTGAGGGGCCTCCCAAATATCCCGCTGATCCAGCGCCCGAGCAGCTCGTGCAGCTAACAGTCTTTGCCCCATTGGCGTACGTGCCCGTCTCACCCTCGTAGTAGCTATTTGGCGGAGATGGTGTCCAAGAGCCCTGTGCCACTGCTCCGCTGACGTTGGGGACCCAGCTGGGAGAATATGGCATCTTCACAGATGTCCCAGATATGTTGAGCGGAAGCCAGATGTAAGAGCTGCTGCCAAGGTCGCTTGAGATCCAGCGATCACCGAGGTAAAATGCCTCGTTGTCACTGAGCTTCAGCACGTAGTTGGTCTGAGACTGATAGGTAAGTGACCCGGTCTGGGCAAAGGTTGTCCAGGAGCTCCAGGGCCCTGTGATTGACGTTGATGTTGTATAGACGTTGTCGTTTGGCATCCACCCTGTCAGATGACTGCCAAACATGTAGTAACGGCCATTTGATTTAATCATGGCTGGTGCTTCAATATGATCTGGCCATAGGTACGTCGCATTGACAACTGTTAGATAGTCATCAGATAGGCGGTCGATGCGAAGGCCATTGGCTCGCTATATTATCACATCAACAGTTACATCAGCTTGTTACCATGATTTGTAAAGAGTTTAAAAGGATAGAACATACATCTTCTGATAGCAGGTAGGCCGTCCCGTCATCGTCTTGGAATAGACCCATGTCTCGACTCTGAAAACCTAGTGGCTGGGAACTGTTGAGATATTGATACTTGCCGCAAACTGTATCTCCGACAGCGACGCCGACCTTTGCCTCGCCGTAGCTGCTGCTGTCAATGTGCATCCACATTACATACTTGCCCGTGCGGTTATTCCACAGCACCTTGGGCCGTTCAACAACACGACCAGATCCCAAGTCACCAGTAGTGGTGGTGAGCGACAGCAATGCGCCCTGGTATTGCCACTGCACCAGGTCTTTTGATGAATAACAGTTGACGTTTTGGAATGCACCGCCGTTCGTGTGATCCTCGCCCACCAAGTAAAAGGTGTCATTCACTTTGATGAGGCCGCCACCATGCGCCTGCATGTGTAGGCCGTTGGACTATTCACGATTAGTTAGAGATCTCAATGCTATGCACTGATAAGAGGAAGAGTGCTAGGAAAAGGGGACATGCTGCTGTCCATGTTGCCCCAGGCACGATCTGCAGAGTCGCGCTCGCAGTCTGAGCACAGGCCAGAAGAGCAGCCCAGAAGCCCAATCGAAATTGCATGTTCAAGCTCGTGTGTGATAGTTGTTGATTGTAAGATGATAACTTTCAAGATAATAACTTTCAGAGACCCTATGTCTTAGGGATGGTTCCAATTGAACAAGTAGAGAATAATAATGCGACATCCCGTACCACTATATAGCACCCCTTAGGGCTACATGTGGTAAGGAGAACCTTACATCAGTCAGGTACATCTTCCTCAAGGAACTCGGAGTATGTCGCGGAGCTGTCAAGAAACCTGACTCTCCACGGGTAAAGGCTCCCGCGATGCAACAAAAACATTAAGCGCCCGAATGAGAACCGCCGGATTTCCGGTTAATATACCTCTTAAGAGAAGAGGAGAGGAGAAGCTTTAGCCAACGGCAATAGTACTTGGTTGCATTAACAATCTGGAGTAGTGTTGAGTGCAATAGAGAAGGAAGTGTTACTAAACATCCAAAATAAGGGACAGGCATCTATAAAGACGGATGTCAAGTGTATTTAGTCACATGTAGATTAAGGAAATGGAAATTGTACCATGTTGAGTTAGAACACTCAAATGATAGAGGGGAGCTTGGCGGCTATGAAATGCATCGCCTCTGACCGGTTTTCATTATGTTCGCATCCTATCTCCGGTAGGCCTTGGCTTCTGACCGAGGCCACCGCTCATGCGATGGCTTGATTGGCAGATCTCTAAGCTCAACTGTTGAGCGAAAGGTCTGAATTGGAGAGCGAATCAGCAGCCGCCGTGGACGTGAGCGACTTGAGCAAAGATGCCCCGCCATAAGAAAATACGTGTAGGTACATGTAGTCTACTGAGTTTCTGGGATTTGTAACAGCATGCTGGCAAGCCATTAATCACCCTTCTGTCGAGTCCCATGAAAAGCCAGGGCTTCTGCGACTCACTTTGATGATAAGACCAACAATAATACATGTAACATTTACTACATTTAGAAAGGCGATCACTCCCAAAATTCCTCCCCCATCGTTTTCTAGAAGCCCTGGATAAGCTAAATCGACAATGTTCAGCGGGCGGCTATTGTAGATGCGCACCCCACACAAGCTTCAATACCTCATGGCTTGTGACCGCCACAGCGCACCGTGCCTGGCTCAGGGCGCTAAAAAGTCCCCTGTGGATGTTAGCCTCGTGGCTATCCAGTGCCAAATATGGAACATTGAAGATGGTATTTGAGATTGAAGTCTATCGATGGCCACTGCCTCATGCGAGCGTTCACCGTACTCGAACAAATCAATAGCCCAGCTTAAAAGGCAAAAATGAAGAGTCGTCATGTCGTTTGTAGCTGCGGGGTCTTTGATATCGCCTTCTAGCGGACAAATTCAGTGCTCCGACCCGGCAGAAAATCACATCAAAGTATTTGAGATTTTGTTAGCGCAGACGACGTGATAAACTAACTCATGAGCCTCGGTTCGGAGCTCCGTAAGGCTGAAGCACAAACCAAGCAGTAGCGGCAACAATCGCTTGCTTCCGTCTTTTGTTGCTTCCATCTCTACCTCATGTCTTTTGCCCCGCCGTAACAAATGACCCCTCCAGTGCATTCCAAATTCTCAGGCGCTGCCCTCCTGGGTCCGAATCTCCGGGGCCTGAAACTCCGGAGCTGCGACACCAGCCGCTTTGGAGCACTAAGCCGAGTGCCACCGTTAGGCGCAAAACGTCACCGGTGGAATGACTTTGTGAGGAGTCGTCGCTTTATATATTCCGCCGCAGCCCAGCCTGGTGAAACGCCGACTCTGCATCGCCATCGCATCCCCCGTCTGGACACATCTTCACATCGCAGACTGTATTCTTCAGCCATGGCTTCCGCTACCAACTTCTTCGAGTTCAAGGCGCTTGACGGTAAGTTTCACATGCAAACCCCTCTATTCTCCTCATTATCAATCAGCCTTGCGCCATCTGCGCCAGCACGTACACTCGCATTTGGAGACATCTGCTAACGAGCGCGTTATTTTTGCAGCCACCGACAACGAAGTTCCTCTGTCCAACTACAAGGGCAAGGTCGTCCTGGTCGTCAACACCGCCTCCAAGTGCGGCTTCACCTACCAATACAAGAACCTCGAGTCCGTCTACCAAGAGATCAAGAAGGAGTACCCCGACGACTTCACAATCATCGGCTTCCCCTGCAACCAGTTCGGCGGCCAGGAGCCCGGCTCCAACGAGGAGATCCAGAACTTCTGCTCCCTGGACCAAAAGGTCACCTTCCCCGTCTTCGGCAAGATCAACGTCAACGGCGACGATGCGCACCCGCTGTACAAGTGGCTGAAGCACGAGAAGCCCGGCCTGCTTGGTCTGGAGAGGGTCAAGTGGAACTTTGAGAAGTTCCTCGTCGGCCGCGACGGCAAGGTTGTCGACCGCTGGGCCAGCACTACTGAGCCCGAGAAGTTCCAGGGCAGGATCCTGGAGGAGATTAAGAAGCCTGCGCCTGCGTCATAAATTGTATTGATGCGTGCAGAGGGATGAGTAAGAGAAAAAATTATAGATGGATTGTAAATAGACAAGTATGTAACGTTTGATGACATTATACCAGATTAGCAGTCATTCAGATTCGCAGTCATCATCCTTATACAACTATGCCCTGCGTACTCATCTTCCCAAGTCTCAGTCCACGCCCTCACTCTGCACGATATCGTATCTCACGCAACTTTCATTGATACGATGTTACTCGGATATGTTCATCAATACTGGCATTAACTCTTCGTTGGTCTGAAAGCCCACTAACTTCATCATGGCGGTGGCTTCGCTATTACTTGTATTATCGGCTCAGCTCGATATAGCTTGTCAGCCGCAGGCACCGATGCGAAGAAACGTTAGCATCAATACCACAGACTGTCCAAACAAACATAATTAACCGTTATGAGTGGGGGAGAATGGCTCAGCCAACTGTCACTGCCTCGCCCGGCCAAAGCCGAGGCCCAATAGATTCATATAATCGACAGGGTGGCTTGAACTCTAAGTGTCGACATACAGAGGCGCTGAGGGGTTGTCTTGTCTCGCCCCAGGTATAAGAACGATCAATTATACGCTTCCCCGGATATGATTGACTCCTATACATTGGATCAATCAACCGAGTCTATCTTCTAATCCCAACTACAACTCCCAGTTCCAGCCATCACAATGTTCGGACGTCGACGAAGACCCATCCTCGGTGCCGCCATGGTTGTCGGTGCATCCAGCGTCGCCGCCAAGCGCGCAGTACAAAGACAGGACATGATGAGCACGCAGCGTGAGATGGAGATCCAGTACCAAGTGGACGCACGCAGACGCGAAGAGGAAGAACAAGACCGACGAACGCAGCGAGCTGTCGAAGAAGCCCTAAAGAAGTCAGCCGCAGAAAATCAGGCTGCCCAACAACAACAACAACAAGCCGCCACCCCGGTTGTGTCGCCTCCTCCACAGCAGCAGCAGCAGCTGTACAATAACTCAATGCCAGTTCAGGGGCAAGACGGTGGCTACTTGTCGCCCGGGCAGCAGCAGGCTTATATGATGCCCAACACGCAGCAGCCAGAGCAGTTTATGCGAGCCCCCTCTCCACAGCCGCCGGGGTATTACTTATCGGCATCTCCAGCGCCGGACGCAAGGCCAAAGAGTGCACAGGGACTTGGTTCTTCGGAGCCGGTTCAAGAGTCAAGACGATATTGTACGCAATGCGGTTATGCTTGCCGAGACGGGGATAAGTTTTGTGCTGGATGTGGTGCAAAGCAAGGTCCTCAAGATACTAGTTTGCTTATTTGAGGACTGTGAAGGGTTCTTTTCATTGCCGGTCCGCCTGATGAGCGGTGGCATTGGCCATTGATAACGGATTCATTTCTTTTTTTCTTTATTTCAATTCTTATTATATAGCTTCAATTTTTCAATGCTTCAAGATGCTTCATTTCCTAATGCCTCATGGAGTGAATCTGGGCAACGTGATTCCCCGCGTCTCGGTGTAAGCCACAGGCCCCTCACAACACTCGATTGCGTTAGCAGCGCTCTGAAGGAAAAGAGAGTTCCGACCTATATGTAAAGCCCATTCCAACTAACGGTTTGCTTCTAGCATAATCATTCGCCAATATGGGAGTAAAATGTTGTTCTCCATGCGCCTCTGAATCATAGTGACGCACACAAGTGCGTTTTATCGACCAGTCGAGAACGGGAGAGCAGGCCATTTCGGTCCAGGCCCTTGTTGCCTGTTGATCATTTATCTTTGAGTCGCCTAAATTAGTTCTACTGTAATAGCGTTGCGATTCGATCTATGGTTTAGTAGAACCACTATTGAAGAAGAGCAGTGGTAGTGCTAGGTTATGACTTATAAGTGCGATGTAAGACTGATGGCTGTATACGAAGACCCTTGTCTTGGCGTAGAAATGACAGAACCTTATTATCAAGGTTGGCTTTCTTAGGCAGCATGAAGACAACGACGATCAGCAAGAACTCAACTTACTTATGATAATAAGAATTCGATACTGGATAAAAGAGATGGCATCCTTCCAAGACTTGGCAGTATCAGCTGACTGGTTCTCTTACAAAAGAATATGGATGGCACTAGTAACGACACGATCACCATCATTGTCAACCTCTTTCTACTCAATTGTCCAACAAAGAATTACAGCATGAAATCTCGCATCCAGTATATGATAAGAATGAGTTGTTGTCCATCTCAACTGTGAGTGCCCGAATGGCTTACGTCATGACCCGGCAGACCCACCAGCGCATGTTCATGATGTGCTTCTGCAGCTCCAACTGAGCTCCCGTTTGCATTTGCGTAACGCCGGCAATAGGAGGAGTGAATCGACTCGTAGCCCGCCATGGAGGGCAAGAGAAACATTGTCATTGTCGGTATGTATCTTCAAGTGTCCATCCAGCCATGTGTCAATCCAGCCAAGCCAGCGCCACATCCAGACGCAAACACCACTGCCGTTCCCCATATAGAGGGGTTCGGTGCTGGCTAGCTCTGCTTGTACCGGCATAGCTAACACCGCAGCTCTCCAGGAGGCGGCATCATCGGCTGCACCACCGCCTATTACTTGACCCGCCACCCCAAGTTCAGCCCTGCCTTGCACACCATCACGCTTCTGGAGGCCGCTCCAGCGGTGGCTGCCGGTGCCTCGGGCAAGGCTGGCGGTCTTCTCGGGCTGTGGGCGTATCCAGCAAGCATCGTCCCGTTGTCATACAGGCTGCACTCGGAGCTGGCCGCCGAGCACGACGGGGCCAGTCGCTGGGGCTATCGCAGGATCAAATGCGGCAGCATCGAGGCGGTTGTGACGAAGGAGAAGCTTGGTGAACTCCAGAACCCCGCAGATGAAAATGGCAAGGCTTGGGAGAAGCTTCCCAAGCAAGATGAAGCCGCCAGGGAACTGCTCCAGGACGAGGAGCTACCTGCTGATCTGGACTGGTTAGACCGAGAGGTGGTGAGAGGATGGGCTGAGATGGGGTCGCCGGGAGCTACCGAGACTGCTCAGGTGCATCCGTACCACTTTACGACTTCAATTGCAGAGCTCGCTCAGAAGGGCGGCGTCACTATCAAAACCAATGCAAAAGTCACGAGGCTCGTCACATCAAAGGTAGCCGTGGAAGGGGTCGAGTATCTAGACCGGACAACAGACGAGGTCAACAAGATTACGGATGTCACCGACATTATTGTTGCGGCGGGACCATGGACAGGCCGAGTTCTCCCGCGGGCAAAGGTTGAGGGCCTAAGAGCTCACAGCGTTGTCTACGATGTCAACGTCACGCCGTATGCCGTCTTCACAGACATCGAGCTACCCGCAGACTTTATCCCCGATCATCGAGCAAAGATGGGACAGAAGAGGCAGCACAAAGGCAGGGTAGATCCCGAAATCTATGCTCGGCCGTTTAACGAAGCATACGCATGTGGTAAGTCGCCATAAGAACAGCATAACACGCTTTCCACAGAAGATGATGCCAATATTAAACGCTCGATGCTACAGGCGAGCCCGACAGCGACGTGCCACTACCGGAAACAGCTGATCAGGTTCAATTCAACGAAGCCCACTGCGACGACATCATTTCTTACTTTGCAACCGTGAGCCCCGTGCTGGCTGCTGCGCCGATCAAGGCCAAACAAGCCTGCTACCTACCACGGCATATACGCTTCGGACAGGAGAGCGGCCCTCTTATAGGGCCCACGGTCACTCCCGGCCTATGGGTTGCGGCTGGCCATACCTGCTGGGGAATTCAAAACGGCCCAGCGACGGGAAAGCTGATGTCCGAGTACATTCTGGATGGCGAAGCCAAGAGTGCGAATGTTAGCAATTTGGATCCAAGGAAGTTTAAAGTTTGATGGAATTCTTGCCTTCTCTTTTTTTCCCCGTTTCTTTTTGCCCAAAACTTTATGAGTAACCAACGTTTCAATAAGCAACTATGAAAGTGTTGTAGAATCCATAAATCTGAACGCGGAGCGCGCATTGTTTACGGAGAGGCTGGCCACGTCCCATACATTGTACTAAGTAAACTTATCATCTCCTCAAAATAGGCACTTTTTTCTCTAATCTTTTGCGCGAATGAAATTGAGGCATAAGACTTTGGAAGATATAAAGGTTTGGCGCTGTGGAATTCGTGAGTTGATACCGATGGTGACGAACGTGATAACTATTGAGCTGTGTTGTGATGAGGATCGGTTGTTTTCGTCCAACCCGGCTTGGCACGAAAAAAGGAGCAAGCCACATCAGTATGTCTCCAGTTTGTCACACACACAAAGTCTGTCTGTGCGACCATACTGGAGTGAGAGAAAAGTATATGAATATGCCCTCCCGTGTGTGAATTCCTGAATCGCTTCTGGATACCTCACCTACAATAAATTTTCAATCACCACAAAAGGAAAAAAAAAAAGAGAAAGAAAGAAAGAAAAGAAATCAACCATTGGGTCAAAGCGCCCTCATTTAATATTGTGCCTACTCTATCTCATGTTAGCCAAAACTCGTACAACCATGGGCAGCACTGTGGATGATCAAGCCGCTGGCAGCCAGCGGTGCGCAAAGCCAGGCTGCAACAATTGGTTCTGTAGTGTTCCTAAGTTAATTCACAATCATCAAATGCAATATGGCCATTGACAACATATTTGTACTGACGTCTCCTGACGCTTAATATAGATCAAAGTTAGGATTTGGTTAGGTGATGTTTTCATGGGGCTACGAATGTTAGAGTGTAAGAGTGGTCTCGAGTTCAACTTGGTACTCCTATGGATCTCGGATTCACGGCAATTGACGTTTGCAAGGGCTTTGGGTGCTCTGATTTGAGTAATACTTGTCTGATATGATAGTGCCAGATGCAACCTAAGTACATGTACTTGGTCTTCTTCCTATACTAACAGTGTCTGCGATGCCTATTCCGAAAAGATTATTGTAATCAGGAAACATTATCTGGTTCTCCATGAGTAGCGACTCAATATCAGACGTCCCGGAAAAGTTGTTTTTCTGTGTGCCAAAATTTGAATCGCCAAACTCCCAAGTCATCTTCTCTGTAACTGGTATCGGCCCGTATCGTTCAAGGAAAAGCGTCATGTCGTCGGGCATCGTTCCCCATGAAGGCTGAGAAAATTCGGTGCCGTCTGAAATTGGTGAATTATACGGTGATGATGTAACGCAGCTGTTGGCTCCCTCAGACCCAGAATGGCTATTGTCCAAGTCGTCAAAGCTGTAAGCGCTTTGAGGAGACTTTTTCACGTGGTGATTATGGCTAGCAAAAGCTTCTCGTCGGTAGTTGAGCTCAGTTTCGACGCCCTGCAATTGTTCCTGCGATGGAACGCTTCCGTCTGCAGAATCATTTGTGGGTGAGTCTGGCTCCTTACCGTCGCTATCTTCTGCATCGTAACCTCCATACTGCAGTCGCTTCGGATGGGCCGCGACTCTTGCCATGCCGGAAGCAGTTGCCGGCAATTCGTACTGAATGGGCAGCTCGATTTCATCGTTGGGACCAATACATCCCAGCTTCTTAGCTATGTCGTGGATGACCAATTCACCTTGGTCATTCAACTCTGGCTCGCCAAGGTCCCATGACTGATTCTTCTGGATCATCATGTATAGTTTGTGAACAGTACCAATCATGGCCAAATGTGTGATTTCAAGAAACTCAACGTAGCTACTTTGTAGTTTAGTAATTGTTCCACCTATTTGTTAATGATTATGAAACAAACCTCTTAGGGACCTGCTTGTATTCCACGTGAATTGTTCTCTTGCGGATGGCCGCAGTGCAGACATTGCCATGCTTTTTGCACTTTTGACAAGGAAGTTCGCCGTCACACTACCAAGGTCGCTTCTGTTAGTACCCTTATCTTAGTTGATTTAGGCTGCTGTAGTGAACAAACCTTGATTTTCTTTACTCGACATCGCTCACAAGCCTTGGAAACTCGTTTGCGTCTCCTGTCTCTGCCCTTTATATATCGATTCGTGTCAAAGTCTGTTGATTCTGGTGATGCTTTCATGTTGTGTAGTTGAGATGCAGCGCTGCCTCTGGGAGAATGTGATTGTTCTTCGGTTGGGGTTTTTGAGACCATGCTGCAAGTCGACGTAGTCTAAATAGTTCCAGCTTTTCAAGAATTAGAAGGGCTATTTACAGTACCACCTTGGATGATGAACAATGGTAAGCGGAAAACAGCAGTCAATTGATTAAAAGCTAGAAGACTGTATTATGTTGCGTATTTTTTTAAAAAAAAAAAACAAGGGCGACCCCATCCACTTAAAGAAGTACTCGAAGGGGAAAACGGAGCATCAGGCTATGACATAGTCTACGATATTCAAGGATAAAAGGACCAATTCATGGCCGAGAATAGAGTACCAAACGCCCGCGCTGCGCTAGAACTTTCGCGAGCCCGGCTTTCGTTGGCGAGCTGCATCATTCGACTTTCTCCGAAGCCCAAAATGGCAACCAGCAGCGAACACGCGAGATAAGCGAAGAGCGCGAATGGGCCGTCGCCCAAGTGTCATTGCGTTCAGGGTCTTGAAAGCGACGCTAGAGAGCGCTAAGCGGCCTACCAAGGCACTATAAACGCCGTTCAGATGGTACATGCACGTTGTATTCGACCTTGATATCGCATCATGAACCCGGCAGTTGGCTCGTATCCCGAGACTTGAGAACTGGAGTATTTGCGTCTCCGGAACTTCCCATCTGTGTGAAGACATTTCCGAGAGTTTAGAATTGGTTGACAGCCGCTTGGTCGGGAAACAACGTCAGTGTGGTTTACTAAAGCTACAAGTTGCCTTATTTGGCAATGTCGTGTATGGCGAATTGAGACAGTTGGCGTTGTGTATGTCGGCCACGTCGGCGATTGTCTTGGGGTCAATGTTCCTTGATTCCCTCGCAACCTCTGGACTTACTTTTATGGCCGTGCATACTTTTTAGCAACCTGGGGCTTATGCAAGCATATTACACTCTTATTGTCTCATTAGAGTGCAGTCACTGCCTAGTATCATCGCCGATTTACCCGTCTAAGAGAACCCAGAACTCAGGCTATATAGTTGGGTTAACGGCGGCACTGGTGCTGGCTATCTATCATCAACCATGCATGCACCTGTGAGCTGTAAGACAGAGGCAAAGGGTTTGAATGAAACATATGACGCATCCGTTGTGCTTGTATCACATATTATTGTACTTGTATCATACACGGAGTTGCAGGTTATCTTGTAAGGCCTGGTCGAAGCCGTGATTTTGTGTATACCTACCAACTACTACCTACCTACCAAAATATGCATTTCATTCTCCCTCAGAGCCATAATTCTCAGAAACGTCTTGACCTATTTTTCCACTCCAGTAACAGAATCAGAATCTCGCAGCAATACTGGGTTCGTCCAAGTGCTGTATCTTCAGAACCTGTCCCGCTACACCCCACTAACCCCGAGACTAGCCCTCCATGGCAAAATTCCACTCTGCGTCAGCCTGGCTTTTGTCCACTGCTGTGGCTTTCGCATTCGAAATCGCTTCTCTCGTCTCCAGCGACATATCGATCCAGGCTAGAAGCCTCGCTTGGCGCGTTGCTTGCGAAAGTCTCACCGTTGCATCTCGCCCTACCGAATTCGGCGTCCGAAGGTGCATATGCCAGCGCATGATCCAATCCTTCCAGCACCTCCTCCAAGATAGCCCAAAGTAGAATGCACGCGACCACCGAAGTATGACTGGAGCCTGATCCGACTCACGTCACGGGCCTGTTGTCGATAAGAGCGGCGCCACTACCAGCATCTGCGGCGGACGAGACAGACGACCGAGACGAACACCAGAGTGACCATGTCTTCCCTCGACGGCCAGGCTGTGAGGCGGCCTTCGCACGCAACAGCTTCTGGTCACAGCCAGATGCCGTCACCAGCAGTTGGCTTCCGGGAGCGCTTGGGCTTGGGAGGCGTGGCTCGGAGAACGCTGGGAATCTGCTTTCTATTGACGACTGTGTTTCTCTGGACGCTGTCCAACTTTCTCGCCAGCGTCAGTACATCTAGCCTGCTTTGCTGGGCCTAATGTGTGGAATGCAGACACCAACTGACAGTGCTATTGTAGTTCATCTTCTCCGACCAGACCTATGATAAGCCGTTTTTCCTCGTCTATTTCAACACCTCCATGTTCGCCATCTCTTTAATACCCATGTTCATTCGATATCTAGCACAAAGAGGAATCCATGGACTGCGAAGCGATGTTAGGCGTATATGGGCGGAATACCGATACCAAGCCGCCGTAACGAGCCCTACAATAGACGAGGAGGGCCCAGAAGTACACGAGCGGCTGTTAGTAAACGAGCGTGGCCCCGTGTGGAACTCTACACACGAGAAGCTTGGATTCCGTGAGACTGCGGTCCTAAGTCTCGAGTTCTGCATACTCTGGTTTCTGGCAAACTACCTGTCGTCTGCTTGCCTCCAGTACACCAGTGTGGCCAGCGTTACCATTCTAACATCAACCAGCAGCGTCTGGACGCTGGTATTCGGCGCAATCTTTGGCGTCGAGACGTTTTCCATGCGCAAACTAATTGGCGTCCTCGCATCCCTCACGGGCGTTGCGCTCATTTCCATGGTAGATCTATCGGGCAAGAGTGACGAGAACAGGGGATCATTTCCGCATAAAACGCCCGGACAGATTGCCCTTGGAGACACCATGGCTTTTATGAGCGCCGTGCTTTACGGCATATATGTGACTGTGATGAAGCGGCGGGTGGGCAACGAGGACAAGGTCAACATGCAGCTGTTCTTTGGGCTGGTTGGAGTGTTTAACCTGTCGCTGCTGTGGCCGCTGTTCTTTGTCTTACACTGGACTGAAATGGAACCGGTACGTACAGCTTCACCAGTTCTTTACAGCTGGAATGAGCTTGCAAGGACTGACTCGAGTCTAATACAGTTTGAATTACCCCCGACGAGCCAGATTTGGACAATCATTATTGTAAGTCACATTCTCTTCGCCTTTCTTGAATCAACTTATTCACACTTGCATAGGTAAATGCCATCGCATCCTTTGTCAGCGACCTATCCTGGGCGCTGGCCATGCTGTTGACAACCCCGTTAGTTGTCACGGTAGGCCTGTCTCTGACCATACCGCTGTCACTCATCGGCGAGATATTCCAGTACCAGCAGTATTCCAGCTTCATCTACTGGATTGGTGCCGCAGTCGTCTTTATTTCATTTGTCTTTGTCAATCATGAGACAGGGAAAGATGAGTCTGGCAAGGCTACAGTCTCCACCGCAACTGATGCCGATGGCGTTGACGAGGACGTCGTGTATGGATGAGAGTAATGAGGAGCCTTTTATGCCGGTTTGAGGCATGCTCTCAGATGAATACACGGCCAATAATACGTGTATTCAACAACAATATTATACCCCAGGATGAGATTTTTTGAGTAGACGCTACATTTTCTTCTTATCGCGACAGTTTAGATGGAGATTCAAGTAGATAATCCCTAGCGCCAGCACTTTGGATAAGACACGCTATGCTATGCCTAGAGTAACGTACAACTGTTAGCGGGACTCCACGCTGAATACACCCGATGGTACCGCTAAATTCCCGATCGTTAGTGAAAGATGGAAGAAAAACCACGAGCGGAGGTCACGCCGCAAGGGAGCGTCTGCTCCGAGGCAGCGACGAGTTATCAGCCCAGCTCGTGTTTCAAACAATTCTCGATTTGCAGCACTGCTGCCTACTGGAAGAAACAAGCTCGAGCTCGCTGAATTTGTCTGCTGACACTGCTATTCTTACCGGAAAAAGCTACAGTACAAGCCTTGAAAGGGCGCGGTGTTACTCGACTTATACAGCGCTGCATGCACACATTCACACGCATTTACTCCACAGAAGCCCCGAAGAAGGCAGTGTGTAGCGCTCACTACAGCGGGAGATCAGCAAAACGGCGAAAAAGCCTCCATCGATCTGCTCAGGGACCAGTGCAAATCCGTTTTGTCGATTTCGATTTCGATTTGACTTTTGCATAATCTTATCTCGCATTTCCATCCATCCCATTGCGCGTCTTCTCTTAGCCAAGGCGTGATTGGATCCGTTATTCAGCTTATAAGACCCCATGACTGTGGCTGGTATCACAGGAAATGCAAGGAGGCTTTTCCATCATATGACGCAGACTTACTCGGAGCACATGCAACTCGACGCCATTTGATTCTGGTTTTTCTATTACTTCTCCCTCGGTGTTTTTGGAAAGTGCGAGCAGCAGGTCTCGCTTTTTTGGCTTGTTAGCGTGTCATTTTATTACGCGGTATACATGCATGTCTTGAACCTACTATTCGCCTGCCTAGGATACCCAACTTGCTTCTATTACTACAACCACTTGATTAACTTTACATTTTTGAACATTCTTTTGAGACTCTCTTCTTATTCACAAACCCGCTTCGACCACAGCTCCTTTCAGCCTTTGTTCTTCTTCCTTTCTTCTTTTGAACAAGGCCTTGGCAATATCGTATATCAGCATCATATATTAGCTTGTTATCTTACACCTTCCATCTTACGCCCTATTGATTCTCTACGCCGGATTATACTCGAGTAGACTGGCATCAACAGCAAAGCCCTATCTCCGCCATGGCCTCTCCTATTACAATGGACTATCCTGACAATGGCTCCTCACAAACCTCAAAGTCACTGGCTGGTGACATAATGAGCGCAACAAGGCCGATGCATACGAAAATCAATAAACTGATTACGTCTCGACTACCACTGGCAGTCCCTCCAAAGGCCCCTGATTCCGGCCCTTATGCCTGCGGCCTACTGCACATTCTCCCAATATACATGACTTTTGAGCGATTGTGGCTGGATATTCTCGATACGCCTCCCGGAGACGCTCCAGGCCAGATTTCTGAGCGTATGCATACTATTCTCAAAGAGATACATCTTCCTCAGCTCTTCCGCTCCGACCGCCTCAGAACCGATATCAAATCCATGACGGGCTGGACCGACGACATCCTCGACCTCCAAATCAACGGCATAAAGGGAACAGGCGAGCTATCCATCTTTATTTCACACATCACACAAGTCGTCCGCGCGAAGCCACACGTCCTCATCGCCTACTCATACAACCTATTCATGGCGCTCTTTGCCGGAGGACGCTTCATTAGAGCAACCCTCGAAAAGGCCGGCGAAGAGTTCTGGCAAACTGTCCCCGAGCACATCAAACCTACGATGCAGCCGTGCGAGCCAGCACCGATCATTGGTTCCTCCTTGGAGCAAATAGAAGAGATTAACCACAGCAAGAATATCATGCCACTGCGATTCTGGTCTTTTGACTCGGAAAACGATGGTGAGGACTTGAAGCAGGAATATAAGACAAAGCTGCTTCAATGGGAAAGCGAATTGACAGCAGAAGAGAGGGAGGATATCCTCCAAGAATCTGTATACATTCTGGAGAACATAGGCCTGCTTGTCGGCCAACTGGACGCCGTCTGCAGCGAAGTACAAGACGATGAGAAGCCGGTCGTACAGATGCCCATGAGACCTTCCTTGGCGAGTCTTCTAGGTGGCACCCAATTTGGGGCGCGTCTGCGTGACAGCCTCCTTATTGCTCGAGAGCGCGGCATTGGAAATCCATTCCGGAGTAAATCACTAGACGCGGTGGAAAATGAGAAAGGGGATACCGCAACAAGTACCGAAACAGCGTGCTCTGGTGTTCCCAAATCTATGAGATTTGCAAAGTCGCTCCCTATTCCACCGCGAAAGCATCGTGCTGCAAAAGATGGTCTCGATTTACATACAAAGTCACAACGGCGAGATGCTAGTGGCACTATGATAGGACCAGCGCTAGTGGGCGTATTTGGCTTGTTCTTCCTCTATGTAATATACAGTCGCGTTGGAGGGGTCATAGTATGAGGGCTCTAGATATACCACATGAAGTCGGAAGAGAAGAGCGTGAGACGAAAGGCTGTTGTACAAGTTTGTTAGCATATCACTGTGCGTTCGAGACATGAATTTCCTAGAGAGAGACTCCCTAGATTGATTAGTTGGATATTCAGCCGCAATCAATAGAGTTACGATTATGACTTTTAACAGTATTTATTTGTTACATGTAATTCGCCCCTCGCGGTTTATAAAAAAAAAAAAAGACAATGCTCGGCTATGCTATGCCACAGCTAAACCCTTCAAACGCCACTGCTATGCTTCTAACGATGATATGAAACAGGAGAAACACAACTCTCTCTCATGTAGAAAGATGTACAGCTTCCAAAAAAAATTTTTCCACACAATGCTCATCCAAGCATATTATGCCACAATGTCCGCAAACTTTCTTGAAAGCGTTGGAAGAAAGGGGGGGTTCCGCAAAACAAATCAGAACAGGTGAATAGTCCCATGCCATGGTATCCTTCATTTTTCATATACTCATCATTACCGCTCCTTGTTTATTTTTTTTTCAGTGATTGTTAATTTTTTTCTTTTATTCGTCGTCGTCATCATCGGGAGTATCCCAGTCGTCTCCCACGTCGGCCCAGCCTGCCATGTGACGCTCGCCACCGAATTCGCCCACCTGCCGTAAATATCGCGCCTGAGACTCGTTCTGCTGCCACTGGCGAACGATGTAGTCGTCTGAAGCGGTGACGAGCTTGCCGTCGTGAGACCAGCTCATGGTGGTAACTTCACGGCTGTGACCGCGGATAAGGGGGGTACCGAAGCGTGAGATGGGGAGTAGGGGCGCGGCGGCGGATGATCCAAAGGCAGAGGGGGTCGATATGCTCTGTGATGGAGTGGCAAAGGCGCTGGCTTCGGGGAGGATGTGAGAGCGTTTAGCCCAGGCGGTTCGAATGTAACGTTCGTCGGTGGGGAAGAGAAGTGCGCAGCCGTCGGTGCTGCCCACGGCGAGGAGTTCGGAGGAGCCGTTGATGCCGGGGCGGATAGCGCATTTGACATAGAAAGACTGCGCGCGGAACAAATCGTGCTTGAAGCCGTACATGGGGCCCAGGCCATGAGTTCCGTTGGGTCTACGCTTGACTGCTCCATCTTCAAGCTCAGGGGCATGTCCGAGCATCAGGTGGTTTGTAGAGTAAGCGTAGACGGTGCTGTCTTTGCAAACGGCGTAGAGGCGGGCCGCGTCGGAGCTGAGAGCCATGGAAGTAATGCCGTAGGAGCGCCACGTGTGGCCTCGTGGTTCCTGTGTCACAGCTAGAGGTGTCTCCTCGGCCTGCCGCCGAGGCTTGATATATCGCGTGTCCCATAATTTGATTGAGGCATTGGCTTCGGATGCAGAGAGTAGAAGGTGTTCGCGGCCGGGTGGCATCCAGTGAATAGCGGTAACTGATGCCGAGGATGTATTGCCCTGGACCGTACGCTCATGGGCGTTGTCGATGGTGTTTATGCCCTTGGCTGGGAATGGCTCCAAAGTAATATCTCGCTGGCCGATGCCGCTGGGGCAGGAAAAGCTGTTCACTGGCGATGAGGAACATCGCAAGTCCCATATCTGGATACGGCCGGCTCGGTCAGATGAGGCGATGACATTACCGGCTGCTTCGCCGGGCTGGAATGCAATCTGCCGTAATGAATCCCAATGGCCACCTCCAAGCTCGGCAGCAACCGTCTGAGTGGGAACATCGAGAATCTTGCCGCTGCGGTCACCACAGGCCGTCGCCAGCCGCGTATCATCTTCCGAAAACGCCAGATCCATAATCGCATTATCGTGAACAGAGATGTATACGTCAACTTTGGAGTCGTCGGAGGCATCGTTCAAGGTGGTGTTGAATAAGCGAACGTATCCTTGCTCGTCGCCAATGGCGGTAACCGAAGCTTTATGGCAGCTGGCCAGACTGAATGGAATGGTATTGCCGCTCCCACTGGAGGCAACGCAGTGGTGAAGGTCATTGCTTCGGCTATAAAACGAAGATGTCTCGATCCTAGGGTCACATGCCGGAGAACTAAGAAGCTGGCTACCATGGTGCGAAGAAAAGCCATGCTCCCGGTCGACGAGGTGAGCTTCAAAACCAAGATCCCGGAACTTGCGGACAGGCTGGGGCTGGTATCCTTCAAGCTGCTGCAGGTAGCAAGAAAGATTAGCAACAAGCTCCAGGACAGTAAGAAGGGGAAGTATAAGTAAGCTATACCAGGGGAGCTTTAGGGTCTGCGGCAACAAGTCTCTGTGGGGTCAGTCCAATCTTTTCTTGCAGCTCGCGGGAACCATTGCGGCTAGCCTTGAAGAAGAGATTCTAGGAAGTTGTCAGCGAATCACAATCAATTTGTAAAAAAGAGCATCTCTGTTTACCAAAGTAGCTCTCCGCCTCTCTCCCAAGCTCTCCAGAGACTCTCTTGTCCCGGCACCGTCCTCGGAAAGGCCCTCGGTCAGATCCTCCTCGATAATAGTGCCATTGTTTAGCCACGAATCCGCACCACCGTTGAGTCTCCTCCTCTTTGTGCCATCCGTCTGCATCTCTTCCTCCAGCAGCCTCTTCTGCTCTCCATTCATTCCTAGCCGTTCACTGGGAGAGGGAGGACATAGCGGATCCGAGCTCAGCGGGTCGCTGAGAAAGGACATGGGGGATGCTAGCTGGCGGTTGTTGACAGAGGCGCTGTCCAGCATCCCCAACACCAGCCGTCCGCTGGGCAGAGACGACCGCGGCGTAAAGAACCGTCCAAACCTCCGGGGCGTCACCGAGGGATTTCGTCGTTCCTTGCGCCGGGTCGACCTCGTCGGCGACAGCATCTGGCTTGCCGGAGAGGACGCATTGACGGTGGGCGGGCTCGAGGGGTAGATGGGATCTGAGGACGGGCCATAGTGGTAATGGACCATGTTGCTGGCGGCGTAGATGCCCGTCTCAAAGGCTGCAAGATGACGAGGATGCAAAAAGAGAATTAGGCGAGTCGAATCATGTCATGGCAAGGGAGAGGCACAGCACAGGATCAGAGGGAAAAGAGTCTGGACAAGCGGAGACTAGATTTTTGGATAAGCGAAAATGAGTGAGGCTAGGACATGTAGGCAAAGTGGAGAGAGACGCGGTCTCACGGTGACGCGGGAGCGTGTAAATGAGATCGTTGGCGCGTTTCTGGGAGTTGACGAATCTGGGGCTGCCGCTGGCGTCGGGGCGGTTCCAGCGGGCCAGGGCGCTGTATTGGCGCAGCGTGGGCGCCTGTCACAGCGGGTCTGCAGGGGCGGGCAAGGCGTGCTGCGTGTCACTGGAGCCGCTGCATCTTTTCTGGCTCAATCCATGCTCAGCTGGCGATCAAATCGATCAATGTTTGTTGTTGTCGACATGAGCTATCTTAGCCTAGATGGATTCTTCATGTCCTCGCGAAACGAGCTGTGCGCGAAGCCTATGTCGCTGCTCTTTCTTCTGCTTGTTGAAGCACTTTTCAGGAAGCACCAAATCTCGTATAGAGAGAGGTTGCTTTGCGTGGCGTCGCGAGTAATTGATTACATGTGCTAGTCATGTTAGTAATACCAAGACTATCCCGAAGTCGCGTGCCAACGCCAATGTGTCACGGTGCATGAAGGGATATCGCCGGTATTACACGCAAGTACCAAGCGGACGCTTGGACGAAGGCGAGACAACTACATCCAGGTAATCAAATAATCAAATACGGCACACACGTGTTTTCATGGTTCAGACTGATGTCTGTAAAAATTGTCTATGGCGTCATGCTAATTGCTCGACCTGGGATCAATCGCTATAGCGCCGACAGCTATCGAAACCCAGCGGCATGGCATACCATGGTATTGAACATATGGGTTATCCTGCGGCAGGAAGCGATTGAAACAAGGGCTGCTGACATTGCGCTCCCAAGAGCTCAGCCCTTCATCGGTGTGGCAGCCCCCTGAAAGAAAGCCTCGAGGAGACCCTCGTTGACCATTCAGTGTAGATCCGCAATTGCCGTTTCGAGCGCTTGAAATAGATCTTCGATATTGGCATTCTAGCTGCTTACTGCTGTCACGGTGGGCTTCGTACGTACATGTGTCTAAAGGTACATCTAGTTGTGAAATGCCAAGCCAGCCATTCTAAGTCAACGCCTCGCGGACTGCTTATACAAGCAGCGACCTTGTCTTCTTGTCCGTTTCGATTAGCGGACCTTCTTGACAGTGATCTGTCACAGCACTGGGCCATCAGTAGACTCAGTTAAATGGAGTACTTGCGCGATTTCCTCTTGAAATTCCTTGAAGATGCATCCCTACACTCTTCTCACCCGTCTCTGTGGTCGTGGTACATTCTTCCTCCCATTTTGAGGAACACTTCAAGCTTGTGCCATTCGGTGGTAGCAGATTCGGCATTCCTCATCCTCAAATTCAGAAGTTTGACAGTCTAGCAAGGCTGATATCCCTTACAGTAAAGCAGTAAGATATCTATGTTTGTGTTACCATGCCTCAACAGAAACACCGGTGGGTTGCGAACGCCAACAACAGGGCTGCGCATGGACTTCCCACTACTGTTTCGAGGCGCTGAATTAAGCGGAGGTGTAGAACCGCCAAGCCGCCGTAAAAGAAGAAGATGATGAGCTCTATTGACATGGAAAATAATGAAAATGATACGGCGACGAAGTTACAAATGCCCTTATCCTATCACTGTTCCAAGACAAAGGCCCATATTGGCTATTAACTTAAGCTTGATGACGAATATAGTTATCTCCATGAAGAGGTCAGACAAGGGGGAAAAGATTGCATGGGCAAATATTGCCATAAATATGTCATTCTTTTCATGATTTATTATGCGTTATTCGAGACTCTCGATGCAAAACATCAGCGACTGTCGATTCTTGATAGTTGAATGCGTTTTGAAGCCACGTATGATCAAAGAACCATGTTGAGGATATCCATATCTTCTAGATGTACAGCCATTCTTTACTATTCTATGTTTGCCACCTTCTTTGTTGAATCGGTCTGAGCAATTTTGCAGACGGCCTTGATACCAAGATGAAAGTTAGGGTATTGGATCGATGTATGCTTTACAAGCTATCTTTCTCACTCTGCTTATCGTGCTGTCGCTGGTCGTGCATGTCAAAGGCCACGCCGCCAAAACCGATACTCGGTTTTTGGGGGGGGAAGCAGTTGTCTGATATACATCTAATTGAACTCTTTGATCAACTATTGCTTTATTTTCAATTAGCACCAAGTCAAAGACGGAAATAATTACGTGGTCAAAGAGTTTCTTCTTCAGTTGACTAAATGGATTTAGGAATAAGGATCTAGACGGAGAGCGGAGCCACCCTTTGGCTAGGTAGTAATGAGCAGACATTCTCATTCCTCAATGGCATCGTATGCATTGTCGAGATATCACCAAGTCTGTAGAGGAAAACTTCCCGGCAGAAACTACACTGCAGTAATCAGATATAACAAACGCTTTACCAGATTTTAATTTCTCAAGGAAGACAATATATATAAAGTGAATAAGCCTAGTACAGATGACTTGGTTGTGGGTAAATAGATACATAGAGAAATTCCTCAAAAGGCACATGTGATGACAAAACATACCACAAGCAGGGCGCAATAGTGTGAACTAAAGTATAATAAATGCATCAAAATATATAACATGTATACCTAAGTAGCTGTCAGAAATCTCCGTGGCGATTCTGCCTCTTCTCTAAGCCCGTCGCAGGCTAATAGGCTATATCGAATGTTCTTGAACTGGAATTGGAAGATTTTCGCCATCTTTAGTCACCAATAGCCGCATAAACTCAAAATCCCAAGGTACAAGTACATGCACAACTTATGATGTATTGGCGCGTGCGCCTTGATGGCCAACTCAGTATTTTCAGCACCCGCCGTCTCGTCTCAAATTTTCTCGTACTCAAAACACGCCCTACTCTTGATTTGCTTCAATCCCTACTCGCCTGGGATAAATACAAGCCCAAGACAGCGTCATTATATGAGTTCTCCAGTCCTCAAATTGGAGAGGAGCTGACTGCTACGAAAGCGGTAAGCCATCCAGGCGCAGGTACCGATACCCCATCTTTTCCGCCAGGCTAGCCCAATAAGGCCTGGGCACTGGCACAATCCGATCGGCAATGGTGTCATCCTGGCCGATGATTCATCCTCGAACTCCATAGTTCGCCGTACTTGTGCATATTTCAGCTGCTTCTGAGCTCGCAGGCCACTGATTGATATCGCCAGCTTCATCCTTCAGCGCCATCACCGCACCAAGCGTATTCCTACTGAGCCTATCCCAGCGCCGCTTCTAACTGCCCGCCATGTGCCGCTTCTTGGTACGTCATCGCCCAGGGCACCGCAAACACCAAGCATTGCTATCCCGAGATCGGATCTTGCAGGGAGGCTAACCCAAGTTCTGTCGACATCTAGGTCTACAAAGGCAGCGACGAAATCCTGCTATCGAAACTCATTCTCGATCCGACTCATTCGATCCTTAAGCAGTCATTTGATTCACGGTTACGACTCGTAAGCCTGAGCTCCCTCCCTGCTTTCCTCGCCACAAGTTCACGACCAGACATGGCTCACATGCCCTTTTCTTGTATCTATAGGACACGCGACGAGGTCAAAACAACGCCGATGGCTTTGGCATAGGCTTCTATACCGATATCAAACTCGGGTCGGCTCCCTGCCTGTTCACATCTACGATCCCCGCGTGGAACTGCACGAATCTTCAGCGCATCGCATCCAAGACTGCATCTCGACTAATATTCGGCCATGTTCGAGCAACGACCGAAGGCTCGCTGAGCGAGGACAACTGCCACCCATTCACACATGGAAGCCTGATGTGGATGCATAACGGTGGCCTTGGTGGCTGGAAACATATCAAACGGCGTCTAGGAAGCCTACTGGCTGATAAATGGTATCTCGGCGTGAAGGGAGGAACAGATAGCGAATGGGCATTCGCCCTGTTTCTCAACACGCTTGAGCAGTCAGGCTACGATCCGAGCGCATGCCCGGTCAACGGGTTTGGACCAACAGTGCTACGTACCGCCATGGAGAAGACGATTGCTCAAATCAACGAGCTAACCGACAGCATCCCTCAGAGCATCCTACAGAACGAGGATGTTGATACCAGAAGTCTCTTGAACTTTGCCGTTACAGACGGTCACAGCGTCATCTGCACCCGCTACATCAGCAGCTCCAAGGACGAGGCCGCTAGCCTATATTACTCGTCTGGAACACAATGGGTTACAAGAACTCCTTCGCCGGATGATCGTCAATATCAAATGGACAGAAAAGACAAGGGGGGCGATATTGTCCTCGTCGCTAGCGAGCCACTAACGTTTGAAAGAGGTAAGAAAGAATGCTAAGAGCTGAAGATACACGCACTTGAGAATGCGTATTAACTATTAAATATTAGAAAATTGGGTCAATGTTCCTACCAACTCGATACTGACGATTCACCGGCAAACTGTCATGGTTCATCCTATCATGGACAAATATTACGAAGGGGATCCATATCACGTTCGCTCCAGCGCATTCGTCCAGGAAAAGGGTCTCATTACCAACGAAAAGGCAACCAGTGGTTCTCAAAGCCCGGCCAGTCTTGACGGCACGCGAAAGACCATCGCTCAGTCAGTCTTTCCTCGTGGTCTCAGCCCTGATCTAGTACGAAGATCGCTCACGCCGGTGTCTTCTCGGGAATCACGACTCACCTCCCAGCTCCAAACAGCGCAATATCTGGCTTCGCCGCCGCGCTAAGGGGCCATCTAGAAGATCTCCATGCGGTGGTTTTTAAGGAGCCCAACGACCGATCATAGTGCCAACTGGAAGTTGGCAAATTGATTTATACTACGTTACGACTGATTGTAAGAACATCTCAACAGCAGTCTTCCTATGTTGCTTAAGCGATAGGCCAATGTTTACGAGATACATGGATGGCTTGAGTATCAAGGCGAAAGGGATTAAGATTAGGGTTTAGAATTAGTAGATTTAGCGTGAATTTGGATAGGCCAGCGTTATATGCTTATAAATTGAATTTGTCAGTTACGTTTACTCCAACTCTCTTTCTGGTGAATCTTCTCGCCCCTCTCGTTTATACGTAGCGGGGCGGTAAACTACTAGTATAAGTTTAGGCCTTTTCGCAATGAATGGACTTGGATTTAACTCTACTTTTAAATGTAACGCTCATAATTCAGCACAGAAATAGTTCATATGTTCATTATAAAACCTGGTATATCTTGAAGGAAGTAAGTAGCTCGTTAATCCTCAAACAAATAATGTTGGATGAAATAGCACCAATGTTTGCGTGTAACAAAATTGGTTTTACTATACACAACAGACCTTACTCATTCATCCACCTGGATAGAACTTGGATACTTATCAACACAATTGATTCATTTTCTTGCATCTCTCTCTCGTTACAACAGGTTATGAGCCCGGAGCTCTACTGTCTGTTTCTCAATTTTGTTTCCTATTTGATCTAAAAAACATTCATACAACAATGATCAAATACCATACGTCGGGCTTCTAGCACCATCTTGTGCTACCATAGACCAAATCACTTTGCACTAAAGGTACTACACTAGATCTTTCACATCCATCACTCTCTATCCTACATTAACAGATCGTCTGCTCCGAGATCACCGTTCTCTGTCTATTCGCTCCCCAACTGAAATCGCTGAAATTACAGTATCCAAAGACCATCAGATACTAAATGAAACAGCGCGCCCGATGCGTACTGTTCTGATCCTTCCAACGTCTGATCATACATTTGTTCGAAGACCTTGCAACCGATTTACAAAGTAGCTTCTTATCTTTTAAGTTTATCCCGGTTTATAACACTTATCAACTACATAAAGTAATATACAATGACGATGGATCATCTCAGTCTAGGTTTCTACAGCTACTGTAGAAAAGAACTCCATGTTGTCAGTCTTTTTTGCTTAGTCGAATTCCTGGTATTATCCTATTCAGAATAGAGAGTACTACTGCCATTCCCTTAATACATCAGACATTGTTCAGTTACAGCAAAAAACGTTCAATTGAGTTCAGCATAATTAGTAGCGTTCTCTTGTACTCTACATAACTTGTGTAAACAATATGCCAGCTATATGCTCTATCCATCATAGATACCACACG